AAATTGGCTAACATTGCATTGATTCGATCACAATTCTCACAGTAGAGCAAAACGTTGGGGAAAACTAAAGGGGAAAACTCAAGAAAGGTGAGTGAAGTTCAATCTAATGCTCTCTGCGAGGGCGGATATTTATTCTGCGAGGCAGTCCGATGGGAGCTGCGCTGCAGCTTAGAGGGAACATTGACGCACACACACATAGAACAACATCGTTTTTACAGGGGTTGGAGAACACACAGCCATGGGCTTCTCCAGAATAATATTTTAGCCTTTCTTTGCCAGTGCTATGGCGGGGTCCTGGACAAGAAGACAAGAACACACACTCACCTAGAACAGCAATCATGCATTCTCCTTTTTGACACTGTAGCATCAAAGGGCAAAATACTTTTGGAATAGCCTCATCAGACCCTGTGCATCCTAAAATAGTTACAGTTGAAGTCGGAAGTTTACATACACCTTAGCCAAATACATTTAAACTCAGTTTTTCACAATTCTTGACATTTAATCCTAGTAAAAATTCCCTGTCTTAGGTCAATTAGGATCACCACTTTATTTTATGAATGTGAAATGTCAGAATAATAGTAGAGAGAATGATTTATTTCAGCTTTTATTTCTTTCATCACATTCCCAGTGGGTCAGAAGTTTACATACACTCAATTAGCATTTGGTAGCATTGTCTTTAAATTGTTTAACTTGGGTCAAACGTTTCGGGTAGCCTTACACAAGCTTCCCACAATAAGTTGGGTGAATTATGGCCCATTCCTCCTGACAGAGCTGGTGTAACCGAGTCAGGTTTGTAGGCCTCCTTGCTCGCACACGCCTTTTCAGTTCTGCCCACAAATGTTCTATAGGATTGAGGTCAGGGCTTTGTGATGGCCACTCCAATACCTTGACTTTGTTGTCCTTAAGCCATTTTGCCACAACTTTGAAAGTATGCTTGGGGTCATTGTCCATTTGGAAGACCCATTTGCGACCAAGCTTTAACTTCCTGACTGATGTTTTGAGATGTTGCTTCAATATATCCACATAATTTTCCTTCCTCATGATGCCATCTATTTTGTGAAGTGCACCAGTCCCTCCTGCAGCAAAGCACCCCCACAGCATGATGCTGCCACCCCGTGCTTCACGGTTGGGATGGTGTTCTTCGGCTTGCAAGCCGACCCCCTTTTTCCTCCAAACATAACGATGGTCATTATGGCCAAACAGTTCTATTTTTGTTTCATCAGACCAGAGGACATTTCTCCAAAAAGTACAATCTTTGTCCCCATGTGCAGTTGCAAACCGTAGTCTGGCATTTTACTGAGGTCTTGACTGATTTCTTTTGATTTTCCCATGATGTCAAGCAAAGAGGCACTGAGTTTGAAGGTAGGCCTTGAAATACATCCACAGGTACACCTCCAATTGACTCAAATGATGTCAATTAGCCTATTAGAAGCTTCTAAAGCCATGACATTATTTTCTGGAATTTTCCAAGCTGTTTAAAGGCACAGTCAACTTAGTGTATGTAAACTTCTGACCCACTGGAATTGTGATACAGTGAATTATAAGTGAAATAATCTGTCTGTAAACAATTGTTGGAACAATTACTTGTGTCATGCACAAAGTAGATGTCCTAACCGACTTGCCAAAACTATAGTTTGTTAAAAATACATTTGTGGAGTGGTTGAAAAACGAGTTTTAATGACTCCAACCTAAGTGTATGTAAACTTCCAACTTCAACTGTATGTTGAAATGGTTGATCAGATTCTGTGAGATAGCTACCAAATTTAATTGATTGAGTAACAAGTATCCTCTTCTACTATAAGCTTATGATGACGGTCTGGGGTACAAATGAACACAGCATCCGCAAACTTCTCTCTTGCTACTATACCAGGCCAATCTGGGAAAGAGGAATATAATCAGTTGCATGAATTGTAAACCGTTAATACAGGTGTTAAGACATATTATGCATGCAAATTACACTGGCTTGTACTTGACATTCAGTGACATAAGATGCCCTGATATCTTATGAAAATTGTTATGTCATGCTTATGGCAATATGACACTGGTTATGAAGTATAGTTCAAATGAGGTGCTACCAAATAAGGGCGAGGGAGAAAATGGGTGTGGGCTGACATTGACTTAACACTCACACCAGCAAACACGTCATCTGCTACTCTGTGTTGCTTCTGAAGTTTTTGTCATGCAAATTTCCTGGGATCAGCCACTCCAACGACCTACTATGAATTTGAGTAATTATTTTTGTCATTATCATCATCACTTTTACGTGAAACCGTAGTCAAGACCGAATAGCTGGTAGCACACTTCAGTTCTGATGGAAAGAAGTTGTGAATGATTCAGTGGGAAATCCTATATCTTACTAAGATCAGATGGTCAACTAATTTAAGTTATTTCAGTCGATATTGACGAGATCAGATATAGAGAGCAGTTGGGGAGTCTTACTCTCATGCGTTGAGGATGGAGGCAAAGTGTGAGTATGTCTCCCCACGGTTCCCAGTGATGCCATGGTGACTGTATGTTTGCGTCTCAGATTTTGGTGGCCTGTCCCAGGCTAGAGCTGTCCTCGGAAATGTCCCCGATTAGCCCTCAGAAAGAAAAAATAAACTATAAAGTTAAATTGAAGTTGATATTTCAATAATCAAAAGCTGTATCCAATCAGATTTGCATGTAAAAAGATGTCTATCCCTGTACTGCTGGTAAACTCGTTTGCTTCGCTGCAGACCTTCTATGAGAATGTTTGATCAGTGATACATTGTAACCACCTCATGAACAACCATTCCCATGACCATAAGAGCATCCAACAGCTAATGGGCTACCGAACTTGGGTGATAAAAAAATGACTATAGTAATCAATTTCTGTGTTATAATTAATAAAAGTAGCCTAATTTAAAGACGAAAATGTATAGTTAAATGCCTTTTTTTCCCACAGCCAAAACAGATACAATAAATAAAAGGTGACATTCTGTACTGTCGCCTCATATAAAACATTTGATCTCAAATCCCAAATGCTGGAGTATAGTGACAAATTAAAGTAACTGTCTCACTTTTTAAAAGACATATTGACGATGTCATCCTCGTGAGGAGGATAAGATGGCCAATCAGCGGTGTACCCGCGTTAATATTTTTAACGACTGGTATACGCCCACACCATTCTGTTGTTGGGGTACGCACACATCATTCCAACACAAAAAGGATGCTTTTTAACATACTTAATAAAAAAAAATTGGAAGGAAAGGAAAACTATTTCACTTATTGTAATTAATTGTTTGTCATATTTCATAGAAATCTGGAAACACTGGACAGTTACTTTAAACATTTTAGCTTCACTGTCCAAATAAATACTTAGGGGAGTGTAAGTTGTTTCCCTTTTACTGACAATATATAGTGACTGTCACATGAGCATAGGAAAAAACTACACTAGTAGTATGCTAAAGGTTAAACAGGGATATATTTCAGCAACAAAAACACAACGACCATCAATCATCCCAGAGAAAGTTTATCTTTAACTGTCTATAAATCGCTAAAAATCAGATAGCTCCTAATCTATAGCTCTCTTCTAGAAACAATTGCATACAATATAAGCTACAGTAGATAAACTGATAACCTACATTGGCCAGAGGCGGCAGAGATATGTATACATAATCTCTGCTTTGACCACTTAAGAAATATGGTATTTGATATGACGTCGTCTTCAGAGTGGTGTCTCGTCAGCAACAATAAAAAAAACACTTCCCGATCACGGAATCTTGATTGAATAAAAGTCCCCCACATAATAGTACAAAAGTGTCAATAACGTATATATATTTATGATATATGTAAGAAAATGATCTAAACATTAACAATACTTGATATGTTCATATTTAAGACATTTACATTACATTTAAAACATGTTTTAAGGTCAAATAAATAATAAAATGTCTGTATCCAGCACATAGGCTACTAGCACTGTACAGGAAAACTATTGTGATTCCGTAAAACCATGGTCCAGTCTACTCACTAGAGTCCCTAGAATACAAAACAGGTGAGTTTGAACAAAAAGCTAGGTCATAGTAAGTGTTGCTGGACCTTTACTGTGGTCAAAGAGCTTAAAGTGGGGTGCCCGGACACTATAGGTTACAAATATAGCACTGTACAGGAAAAACGATTGATTGTGTGTGTCCATAAAAACATGGTCCAGTCTACTCACTAGTCCCTAGAATACAAAACAGATGAGTTTGAACAAAAAGCTAGGTCATAGGAAGCTTTATGTTGACATTTGAACAGTGAGACATATGCAAGCAAACATGCCCAAATTGGCATGATAGAAAGGTCTGGAACCCTGTGTTGGGTTTGGTGTGGGCTAGCCCGTGCCCACCTTGCCAACAACAATAACCACATGGGGCCAATGGGATAACAGCACTATGGACAGCTACCGTTTTAGAACGTAATGTTGTAAGCCTATCTCTGATTATGTGGCCCAAAAACATATTGTGATTTAATCTTTTAGTGGATTATATTGACACACAGGTCTCTCAGGACCCACCAGGGAATGATGGCCGATATACTGTACAAATGCTTCAGTTGCAGATACAGGTGCTGCTCATGATGTCCCAATTTATACTGGAAAGCCAGGGAGTCTTGTTTGGAACTTCATGAGAGGAGTTTCAAGTTTCAATGTCACATGCACAAGTACAGTGAAACACCTTCCTTGCAAGAAAGAGGAAGAGAGGAAGGATGGGGAGGAGAGAAAAACTGCTTGGGATAGAAGCAGATACTCCTACTTAGCCACTCCCAATACTTACAGTAAGGCCTTGAAGTGTTCTGTTCCTCAACACAATTGACAGAGCATCACTATGAGTACATGGGGGAATGTTCACTCAGAAGGCAGACTTTTACATACAGCAGGTTTTCAAATTCCCTACAATAGATGTTAAATGAAAAGACAATGAAGCTCTGCGTCCTAATATATTACAGATGTTTCATCACAGCTGTATTTAATCTTTTATTGTGATTAAATCACAATATGTGATGAAACATCTGTAATATATTGCATGTCAAGAGCTTCCTCAGCTCTTGACATGCAAAGCTGAAAGACCATAAATTCAAATAAAAAAAAGATTAGTACGCATAGGAAGGATGCGAAACCTTGGCATACCCAACTCCATATTTGAGCTCTACAGAATGATAAATTACATTGAGACACAATTGTTGAAATAATTGGGTGATTTTCCCATCTACTATGATGATCATACTTGAGTCCTGCTACCATCTAGTGAGCATAAAGAACACAGCACAGCAGCACACAAGGAATACCATGGTATAATTAAATTGACAACAGTCTATTTTCTGACAATAACCACTGTCTATTCATGCTCATGTTGCATTATAGATGAAGAGAAACAGATCACTCTGTGACTACGTTTAGCATCCATTGTCATTTCATAACCAGTAAATATACACAACACCAACAGTAAGCTTTGGGACGCTTGCCATATGGTGAGAAGGAGGCCTCTGAACGTGATTACGTGAAATACGTTACTGAAGTTTTTTAAACTTTGTCATTTTTAAAACTACCGTCTTCATTTTACTAATAAATCCAAATTACAGATTAACAACGCTTATAAAACAGTACATGGAGGAAATGTCAGTGCGTTTCTACAGCATAGTCACTATTTTCCTTTATCCACCCAGGAAAAGAAGTTACAGCGAGCCTCAGGATTGGATGCATGGCCCTGAGGGCGGTTACACACAAAGAACTGCTTGCCCATGTTTGGCCCTGCCTTCTTGACTGTGCGGAGTACACAGGGTTCCCCATGCGCCTTACAGGGGGGCGGTGGGGGTGGCCCACGCAGGACCGTCTTCCAGAACCCCCCCAGTGACGCCCCCTTCCTGGGACATGAGGGGTCTACAGTAGGCTCTGAAGCCAGGGCTGCATCCTTCCCCTGGTTTTGACTATTGACACTGGCATCCTCTATGGTGCTGCCAGGTGCAAGGACTTTGTCTCCCATACAGACACCCTGGGGATCTTCTGTGCACGTGCCTGTAATTGAAGGGACATCTTGTCCTGCAGAATGTCCTCCCTTGAGGGTCTGTGGCTGTGATGGGGTCACTTCATTTCTCTCTTCTCCCCTCTCACACGGACTCACAGGGCATTCCCTGGTTGGGACCACAGGTGTGGATTTGGGCTTGAAAAAGGCTAGGAGGTTGCCCTGGGGCTTTGGGTTAGCAGCCTTCAGTGTCTTAATCTTTTTGCCCTTTGGGACACCAGATTCCACTGCCAACTTCCTCTTCTTTCCAGTGGCGCTGGTCCCTGCTGCTCCCAGTGGATTCAGGTTCTCTCGGGTCTCCCCAGCCTCCTGAGATCCTGGTAGTGGGTCCCTGCAGGCCTCTCTGGCAGGCTGTTGTTGGTCCACCTTGACCAGGAAACGTGAGAGTTTCTGCTGCCTGCCAGCGAACTCTGGTAGGTGGCGGGTACAGAGGGGAGGCAGCTTGGAGCTGGGCAGGATGGGGCAGCTGAGTTTCCCCCAGATGGGGCAGTGATCAGACCCCTCCACCTCTGGCATGATGTCTGCTGCCACAAACCCCATCTTAACCAAGGGATGGTCTGCGAAGATGTAGTCGATACGTGTGCCATAGTTGGTCTGCCTGGCTCCAGTCATAGTGTTCCAACAGGTGAAGGCCTTGGAGCGTGTTGGGTGAAAATGGCGGAAGGTGTCCACAAACTTGCCGGTGCTGAGGGGTTTTGAGGAGGTATTCTCAGACTCTTCATCATCATCTTTTTCACACTCCTTTCCTTCACTGTCATCAACCAGTAAACCGTTTAGCCATTTCCTCCCGGGGTGATCCTCAAAATCATCCTAATCAAAGTAAACAGATAGCAGGAGTAACAATATGTCAGCTATTAATAAACAGATTATGTCTGTGAATGAGGACATCAAACCCATCACCTGAAAGAATTCTGATTACTTCACTTACTATTGCATCTGGGTCACAGTGATCTATGGGCCGGTGGGATGTATTCACGTCTCCTAAGACGATTACATGGCTGGGTGGAAGAATCAGAGAAAACTAAGAGAAAATGAGACTTCCAATAAAATGCATTGAGCAAATCTCATATCAGTTTGTCCCGTATTATGATACCCACCCAACCCAAGTCCCCCTGCATATAGCCTACTCACCTCCCAGCTTCCAAAATGGCTTCAGCCCGACATTGAAGCAGCTTGTAGAACTGCAATTTGAACTGTTTACGTTCAGGCTTTTCTGGGTCAGCTCGTGGGCAGTATACATTGATAACTGTAACTGTTTCAGGTCGGTTTTCACACCTTTAAAAAGCAAGTGGGCACACAAAAACAAAGAAACACTCAGATCATAGGAGAAACACAATGGCTTTTCAGTGCCACAACAAGTTAACAATTGATACATTCCATGACGTTATTTCAGAAAACCTAGAGAATAGCATGGCACAAATCATGTGATAACGGTCAATTTTTTTCCTCCCTACATGACTCTGTGCTGTGTGAGAACAGCCCTTCCCTCGTTGTCCAGGAGCTGCAGCTCCTCACTGGAGAACTCTCTCGGGTCACCATAGCATCCAATGGTCCCCTCATGGTTGGTGGTCAGCAGGCCGGTCAAGCCCTCCTCTGCAGCAAATGGGGTGGCACTGTCTTTGCAGTAAGTAGCAACTCCTATTTAATAAACAGATTAGGAAGGTACATATTAATGTGGTAATGTGAAGGTGCAATGGGAGAACAACATAGGACTCAAAACATCCTTTAATACAGAATACCACTTTTTGTGGTTCATTATTTTCTTTGTCAGGAATTTGTGATAATGGAACTAATAGACCAATGCAATCCATGGAAACTAATTCAAACAGACCGGGGACACTGTTTCCAGGGGACCCAAGATTCATTGTGGCTTGCTCTCTGATATAAAAGGGATTATGTGGCTATTTTGTTCAGATGAAAATGACTGAATCTGGACTCGCGTGATCCTGAAACTCAATACTTTGGAAAATAATGAATGGTCCCAACCTGAGTAGCCGCTGCGTCCACGACTGAAGCTGAAATAGGAGTTATAACCTTCAACAATAGCAGTCCTCTCATCCAGCAGGTCTCCTGTCACAGACAAACACAGTATGACAGATACAGTAGCTAGCCTAGCTGTAACATTGTCAAGAGTTCAAATTGAAGCAGAGTATGTCACATGTATTGTACAATCACACATTTATCATATGCTTCTGTTACATTATCAAGTTAGCCTGAGTGCCAATCTGTTTGTGCTATCATGCCTGCCAACTCCTTGTCACTCAAAAGATACTGTAGAATCTCCCGCGTAAAACTCTTACTTGTTACTTTCGTCTCTTGGACACATATGATGTCTGCATCCAGCGAATCAAGCGCCTTTTTAATTCCGCCCTTGAAAGTCCTTATGCCATTAATGTTCCAACTGACAATCTTCATGATTTTACAACACTCGTGACCAACTTTTCACATATGTTTTACATTTTGCTTTACAAAAATTTTACTTGAAACGTGACGACTGGATAACACGGAAGTGACCCGGAAGTACGTGTATGAAAGAAGAAAATGGGCGCGTTCGACATAGAGTCAAAGCACAGAGTTTCTAAACCCAGAGGCACAAAATCGCTAGACTTTCGGGAACGCTTGCAAAACAAACCAAGCAGACCAGGCCGGAGTTTGGGGTTTGAGAAGTCAATGAGAGAAGTCAACAATTCTTCCTTAGTTGTTAATTTTCTCGAAATCTAAAAGCACAACACAACCTAGATAAGAGCCAATGTCTTATAGATGCATAATGCAGAAATCACTCCGCCATTTCCTGGTTGCTAAAATTCAAATAGTTCACCTAATTTCAATTTATGTGACAAAATAAGCAAGTTTAGCATAGAGCACATGTCAAACTCATTCCACGGAGGGCCGAGTGTGTGCGGGTTTTCGCTCTTCCCTGGGACTTGATTGATTAATTAAGGTCACTGATTAGTAAAGGAACTCACCTCACCTGGTTGTCTAGGTCTTAATTGAAAGAAAAAAACAAATAACAGCTGACACTAGGCCCTCCATGGAATGAGTTTGACACCCCTAGTATAGAGAATCATTGTATCATCTAAACCGCTGTGAAATATATTTTCCATAACCAAAATGTTTTAATTTTCAGCTGTTTGAAGCTGGTGTACAAAACCAAAAGTAAAATATGCAAAAAACGAAACTGAAGAACGGGAAGCATAGAAATAGCGCACATAGAACACATCTACCACTTCTTAACCATGTTTTCAATAAGAATGACAGATTTATAACACACATTTCTATGTACATTTGGTCATTCGTCCAAAAAGTTACATATTTAAGTAGTAGAACATGTTTTGACTCCAATCTCTTGAAAGTGACAAACTGACACGTTTTTATTTTAGTCAAAAACTACTTTATATCGAAGGAGTGTCTTTGATTTGACGGCCTGCACATGCACAGTTTGGAGCGAGACGGCAGTTAGACCCAGTGACGTTTTTCTGCGCATTAGCTTAGCTAGCCAACGTCGCATACAAGTGTGATCGGGGATTTCTATTGGAGAAGCAGTTTTTGCCTATCTTCATATTGTACTGTCTTTGGTCAAAGTACATCTGCATTGCTTGCTCTTTGTGGTTTTAGGCTGGATTTCTTTATAAGCACTTTGTGACATTGATTGATTGATATGTGATAGAGCGGTGAGGAGGAGCTCTGTGGACCCTTCGTGTCCGGAAGTAATTTAGCCATTAATTGTTGTCATTGCAATCTTTAGAGAGTTTGGAACGCCGAACTGAGAGTTTGAAGTGGAGGGAGTACAGGGCTTAGCATGTCTCTTGAGGAGGCTAAAAATAGATTTTGGCTTGGAAAAGTTGAATATTTTCAGAAGGGAAGAAGAATTTTAATTGGTTAAGGGAGGTGGATTGGAGGGAAAGAGAGAGAAGGTTGAAAAGACTGAGGGAGGCAGAGGACAGGTTTCAATCTGTTGAAGCTAGCAATACCAAGGGAGAGGGTATGTTGAGGAAGATTGGTGTCAAGTTTAAACAGAGTGAGCCGGGAACAGTGGCGGCTCCTGAAAAAATTCTCAGGAGGGGCAATTTTTCTGATGATTTAGGTGACCTACACACATTTTAAAAAAGATATGTCCAGCAACAACATGAAGACAGGGGCAGCATATAAGTCAATACCAGAAGCATTTATTGACTGATCTGGGGAGATGGATTCCAGTTTCTGTGACAGATTATAAATAATCTCTGATGCCTTTGTTATATTAGCTTTTGGTTGAATGTACTGTCGTAGTAAATATATAATGTTATAGCTTGGTCTGACTAAAATCTTGTGCATGACCCATTTTGTGTTGGGCGTTTGTTTTCAATCAATGCTGTTCCTATCCTATAACAATGGACAAAAGAGTCCTATCTTGTCAGCCTTGTCAGCAGGTGGCCAAGGACAACACCCACGCCATAGGTCTCTCAGTTCTTCCAACTCACGAGTTCTTGCTCTGAGGACACACACACACACACACACACACACACACACACACACACACATCATCACTGATAACACACACACACACACACACACATCATCACTGTTAAACACACACACACACACACACAAAAATCCCCTCTCTTTAGGCTGAACATTTGAAGACAGAGAACCCGACTCAGAGCCAATGCAACAGTGGAGGGGACCTCGCCCAACTCATCAGGACCAATCAGAAGATCAGAACTACTAGATTCAACCTACATCATTTATTGTATAAAATGTCTGCACACAATGTTTTCGGGGCTCTCTTCAGATAGCTCCCTAAGAGTTTGACGAACGAGTCCGTGCACGCGATTCCAGATATCTTTACCTCTGAATAAACTGCCTTTATTATACCATATCCACCCTGTCCAAAGTCTCTACTTGGTCTCAGTTCTCCAGTAAACTTGTGATTATCAACAGTACACAACGGTAACAAACAATTGGGGGAACTCACGGGGCAGATAGTAAGGTCGCAGTGACACAGAAAGCAGTTCAATGTCGGGGGTACAGAGTCGCTCTCTTACCAGGATCGATTTTCCCTGTGACTGTCAGATCGCGGTCCGCTCTGACCAGGGTGAAGCCGGCCGGCTCCACTTCTCTGTCCGGGACTCTGTCATCCAGCCAAGTCTCCCAGCTGTATTGGATTCCGCTGCCAGCAGCGTTTTCATTATTTAGTCCGTTCGTAGCGGGTATGTACACGATCAACAAGATCAGTCCAAAACCCACCACTGGAAATCCATGGTTGGCAGAATGTTTGTAAACTAAGTGTACAAATTAAAAACATAAAATAACGCCACTAAGTGTACAAATTAAAAACATAAGATAACGCCACACTGCAGGTCGCAACAGAGACGCTGCTAGCCGTTATTTTCTTAGTTACGTTCATGGTTACGTCACGTATGACGAAAGCGCGTAAGTGCAAGCCCTCAGACACCCATAGAGATTGTATTGAAAGCTTTGAAATTTGAAAAAAATAGATTTTACATGAGAGTCTATGACAGACTTCTGGGCGATTTTCAACCTGACTGAAATCGCCCCAAAAACGGGCGGGGCCATTTGAAGCACGACTTTAGCCTGATTTGACATTTAGTGGCAGTCAGATCAGATTAGAACACTGATAACTACTGTTGCCGTGATATAATTGATTAGAAAAAAAATCCCTTCCTTTTCCCGTTTGGCAGTGCGTCGCCCATATCGCCCTATTGAACACACCGCCCCTGGCCGGGAAGCCAGTTTGAGTTCTGAAGGTGAAATGGAAGGGGTAGAAGGTGTTGTGAGGAGCTCGGTGCCCGAGCCTTGCATCGATGGACATGGTTATGATAAAGATGTGTTTGGTCCAGTGGGAGTGAGAGTTTTGAAGAGAGTGGAACCAGGCCTTTTGTGATGTTTGTTTGTGTTTCTTCAGATCAGAGGGAGCAGGCACTCCGTGCGACGCAACTTGGGGAAAGACCTGTATCTTGCTTTGCGCTTAGGTACAGGGCACCATTGAAGGGAGTGATTTCTGGGGTAGTGTTAAGTGTGGAGGTAGAGCAATTTAAGTTGAAGATTCCTGGTGTTTGTGATACCGACCGTTTGCTACGATGCAGATTCGGTGGGGAGTGTGGTGAAACAACACAGGTGACAGTCTGTTCTTTTGAGCTTTGATTCAGAGTCTTTACCTGACAAAGTAATGATAGGATATATGAGTTATGCTGTTAGAGCTTTTGTGCCAAATACACTGCGGTGTTATAGGTGTCAGATTTATGGGCATGTCACAGCAGTGTGTAGGAGGGAGATTCCAAGATGTGGGAAGTGTGCAGGATGATATGGGCCTGAGGAATGTGTAGTTTCGGTGGGAAAAGTTGTGTGTGTCAACTGTAAGGGTGCCCATGTTGCTGGGGATCGGAGGTGTCCGGTGCGAGAGAGGCCGGTTGAGGTGGCCAGGGTCAGAGTAGTGTAGAATATGTCATATGCTGAGGCAGTGAAGAAAGTAGAGGAGGGTGGATCAAGGGTGAGGGATTCTGAGAGGATCCCTGTGAATAGTAGCTCCGTGCCAGAACAGAGGGATAGGCCAATGAGTGATATAGCCTATGTTTCAGTAAGGTTGGTTTCTTAGCGTTCATAGCAATGGTTATCAACTGTACCGCAGAGATGGAATGTAAGTCACACAAAATAGATGTTGTGGTGGCAGCGGCAGAGAAGTACTTGGGGGTACGAGATTTGACTTCAGAAGAGTTAAATGGTGTGTTAGTGTCCCATCTTCCCAGGTCGTTGGCCTGGGGTAGGATCAGATAGGGTTAAAGTAGTGGAATAAGGCATAGCCACGGGAAGTAGGGGTTCTGAGGGTGCTGCAGCATCCCCTGAAAAATCTGAATTAAAACAAACAAACAAAACAAATATATATATATATATATATATATATATAAAAAAACAGGCCTTTCATAGTCCTGTATTAGCAGACCCACTATAGCGCCCCACCCTGAAACGACTTCCCACAGCTATGGAATTATATTAATTAAAATTATATATATTTATTTTTCCAGTTTCCCCATTTTGTGTCACAAAGTGTAATGAATTTATACTATAGTTCAGTTTGGGACGGTAATGTAATTTATTGGATGCCAACCCCTGTTAAACTCCACAGAAGAAGAAGATTGCGATTTGTAGAGTTGCTATTTTATCGAGTTTTCTCGTGTCAATTAACTCGTGACATTCCTGAATTGCTCATTATATTATTAAAGTCCGATTTAATCAACATATACGATAGTCAGTTGAAAAAAGGTTAAGGGTACATACAACACTGTGTAGGCTACATAGCTGGCTGTGTTGGCAGAATCACTACATATCTAATCGAGCCAAGCGGGGAGAGGCTGCCTGTTGTCACAGTTCCAAGACCAGTCAGCAACGTCCAGCTAATGCCGCGTTCAAAACGACTGGGAATTGGGAACTCAGAAATCTACGACTTCCCGACTTCAGTGCTTTCACGACAAATGGGAACTTGAAAAAAAACGACCTCAGACTGGGGAAAAATCGTTTTGAATGGTCATAAAACTCTGGTTAAGTATCAATGATGGTGCTTTCAAAACAACAGGGAACTCTGAAAAAAACCACGTCGTCATGACGTCACTGATCTTTACCTAACCATAACCGTTTTATGTCACTTTCAAGTGCTAGTCCGAACTAGGAAACAAAGAAATGTCAGACATGCTAACTCGTTGTAGTTATACACATCACGTTCAACCAGTTAGCATGTCGGAAATGTCAGAGTTTCCTAGTTCCGACTAGCACGTGAATGCGGCAATAAATGTCAACTTCAATGAGGTGACTTCAGAGTTGGCATGTCCCGAGGATCAGTTTATGCTTTTCCAATAAGAAAAAGAGAACATGAATGAGAAGCATGCAACGAGTTGTATGCATTGTTTTTAACTTTTTATTTGACATTTTCTTTGGAATAAAAACTTTTTGTAACAGAGTAACAATTTATTTGATAAAATATAATTATCTGTGTGTCTGTCTGTAGCATAGACATAGATAGAGAACTCTAGTGCCCAAAAGCTTGATTTAGCATGACACATTCACCATTTTGAAGTAATTAACTGGGTGGGACTTCTTATGGGTTAAGGAAGGATCACATAAATCCATCCAGGTCACCAGGAGGGATCAGCCAATGAAGTATACTCGTGAGCAAACATTCCATAACTGCAGGTGGCACTAAATCGCCAACCTTGGCATTATACCTGTTCAAACAACACACTCCAGGTGGCTGTATGCACCTTTTCAGTTTCTTTGCCAACTCAAATAAGTAGTAGAAGAAGAAGATTGACTACTTCAAAACGGGTTGGAACCTAAATTATTTTCATTTTTTAACGTTCTGAACAGATCCATATTTTTTATTTTCAACCAGCAAAAAAAAGTTCTGAACTGTTTTTTTTTTTTTACATTAAGTTCACCATTAAATTACTTCACCAATCAGTGATGATAGAGCAGCTTGCTATAGTTGTTTATATGCGTGATGGACAGACAAGTGTATGGCGCGAGATGAGAATGACATTTTGCAGGTGGGGAGAGAGCGAGAGAGGGAGGAGGAGGCTTGACTTGAAGCACTGGGCGTCTGAATTAGGCCCACAGAATTATACCTACGGATGAGCGGCTTCTATAGAGTAACTTTGAATGTCTTTGAATTTCTGAGAGTTGGCTTAACATGGGACCAGAGCTAATCTTAGCTAGCTAATAAGCTTGTGTGTGCAGAGCAGCACCAGAATTAAAAATACGTCTTACCTTTTTGTAGTTAATAAATCCAACTATAGTATCCTTAACTAGCATTGAAAAAGTTAATCCAACGCTTGTAAAGTTACCTGTAGGATACAGTAACCTATACTTCGGAGGAGCAGGTAGCATAAACACACTAGAAAATATTTCCATCTGACAGGCGGGCACTGGAATAAGTTTCTGAGTGACAGAGTCAGGGTTTTGTATTGGCACATTGTTGCGTTTTTTGTGGGACTGCAAAAAAAATGCCAGGAACATAAAATAACATGATTAACTGGTTCCCATGCTTTTAAAATAATGGTTTTGTTCCGGAACAGTATAGATTACTTTCGTTCCCGGTTCTGATTCTGTTCCTCAAAAATTTCTTATTTTCGGTTCTGTTCCCTGAACCGGTTCCAACCCCTACTTCAAAATGGAAGTGGCCTCAATGTCGCTGCCCGTTGTGCTCTCACAGGCGCCATAGTAGGACAGATACAATGATGTCTATATAAGTATATGGTCTATAGTCATTCCAAACCGTGTGACACTGGACGTTGCTAGGGGGGCAGTCTTTCACACTGGTCTGTGTCTACTCACTCTCTCGTTGCTTCCGCGCGCAATGACTTTCAAAGTGCTAACTCAAGCTAGAAAGCAAAAAGCACATTGGTTGGAAAACCGGGGCGGGTAGCTTGTCCACACAGAAACTCGACGACGAAGTGTCAAATTGTCTCTGAGCGCTGCTGGTTAGCTTAATTTCGAAATAACGGTACTTTTGGCGACAAACGTGAATCGATATTTGGAGGTGAGTAATTTAGCCAGCTAGCTCACGTTAACTATGCGCTTGACTTGTAAGCTAGCGGCTGATTTCTAGGTAGATAATTAGCCTAGCTAGTTAGTCTGACCACAGATGGCTAGGAGTCTTTGTTTTGACCGTTCTGACAACTAGTTAGTGTAGCTAGCTAAGAAAATGGGAACGTTGGCTAACTAGCTATCTGATAATCTTCGTGTCTGATAGCTAGCTAGAAGAATCAACTCTGCTAACTAGCTAACAAAATTAAATCTAATTTCATTGGTCGCGTACACATATTTTGCAGATGTTATCGCAGGTGCACCGAAATGTTTCTAGTTAGTTTCCAACATGGTTGGTAAGTTAACGTTCGCCTATAAACTGATTGAATGCCTGCACACAGTAACGTTAGCTGCAGACAGACAGTTGCATTTTTCTTCACGCTGACAACAAAGATCACAAGTAAAGTGACTGAGAGGAGCCAGTTAAACTCATCTAACGTTAACCGCATAATCTGACTCTTGACCGTCTGTGATAGGGCTGCCAAGTTTATTATTCACTAAACGCCATTTAAGCCAGTTGTCAGCTGCCAGCATCTCTTAGGATAGCAATTCATATTGTTAAACCTCAGGTTAGTTTGAAGTTGCTTTCAACTCATTGGTTACTATTTGTGGCTATGAACAGTATGATGACACAATCAATGTTCCTGGGCTGTGTTTCCTTCCTCCTCCCCCACAGCGAGCAGTAATGAGGCAGGAGGATTGACAGAGGAAGCAGGTGTCTCAGCGGAGCATTGGGGAAGGAGGCGGGAGGAGGAGGACAGGATGCTTGAGGAGGCAGGCCAAGCAGGGACTGAGGCGGAGAGAGATGAGATGGAGATGGGGGGCATGGACCTGAGGGCGGAGGTGGTGAGGCTGAATTTGGAGCTCCAGGAGGCCAACGAGGAGAAACTACAGGCGGCCCGTTATGGCTTGGTGGTGCTTGGAGGAGAGCGCTGAACTGAAGAAGAAACACACCCAGCTGGAGGAGGAGTACGAGACCCTCAAACAGGAGCAACAGCAGCTCAAAGAGGTCAGCAGAAATGTTCGATGTCTATAGCTATACCAACCTTACTTCCAAACGTACAACTACTACTATGTGTGCACGGTGGTGACATTTTCTATGATTGAGTGAAGACAAGACCTTTTGTTCATAGATTTCTTATTGCTTTGTCTAATCAGGCACCACACTAACTAACTACTTCAGTGTGAACAAGTTCCAGTCACACACTGCTCTGTATTGACCAACCTGGGATTAGCCACACAATGGACTTGCTGTTAGGACAGAAGCTTTTAGCTAAACTGTTCTAAACCAAGAAATAATCACAATCATAATGTTGCTAGGGAGTTGTTCTTAATCCAGTGTTACTTAGCAATTTATTAATTGCCTACTGAACATTTGATAGGTTCCATGAAGATACTCTATCATGTTGAACTCTGTTACTATCTTGGCTGAATGACAGTTCCCCGAGACTCAAGAGACATAGCCTAGGGTTCATATGAATCATTCAGTTTGTGTGATAAAGAGGAGGACAGGTCGGTTTCTGCTCCTGTAGTGTCATATGATGTTGATGTGTATAGATGTGATACTGTTTATCTTTACTAGGGATCTGTGATGGAGGGATGAGAGCACATTAGTCAGCATATCCCATGTTGGAAGTGGAAAGTGGAATTAATTCTAAGCTGCTCTGTCTGATGCAGACTGCATGGCATTAGAGGGGTGAACAGGGCAGGGAAAGATATCAGTCGCAGCACGCAAATCATTATCACTGGTATAAAGGTTAATCGGCATTCATGTAAATAAATAATCTCATAAAAATGTATATTGTAATGGAACGTACAGTCACATTCTGACCATTGCTTTTGTTAATGAATTATTCCAACTAGTAGCATCCAACATAGACCCTGCACAAACAGGCCTACTATTCTGTTTTAAATGCTTCAGCAGAGTTTATAGTTACATAAGGGCATTTCCACGGTAACAGAATTACGCTGAGACTCCGATTTTTTTACTTTAAAATGTATGCCAAACAAAAACCAATGATTTCAAAGTTTAACAAACCATAACTCTATGCACAATGACTACTTTGAACAATTTACACAGGGGGGAAAAACATTTACTGGAAGAACTGTGCAGAATTGAGGTAAAACTCCCTCAGTTTTATTGTTACCAAACTTTGTATCTTCAGTTCGTCCTGTAAATGTGTTTTTGTAAAATGTTCAGTGTAAATTGTTAAAAGTATTCCTTGTGCATATAGTTCTATGGTTTTGTAAAGGCCCAGTGCAGTCAAAAATGTAATTTTCCTGTGTTTTATATATATTTCTACACTGAGGCTCGAATAATACTGTGAAATTGTGAAAATTATGATAATCCCCTTTTAGTGTAAGAGCTGTTTGAAAAGACCGCCTGAAATTTCAGCCTGTTTTGGTGGATGGGAGTTTTGGCCTGCGGCGGTAAATTAGTTGGTAGACCAATAAGAGAGTTCCAAACCTCTCTGCTATAACAGCTCGTTTTCAGTTTCCCCCTCCCCACTCAGACCACTCCCAGAGAGTCCTAGCAAAATACTTGCTTGAGAAATTGCTCTTTGCTAAGAATCTATTTGTTTCTTTTTGACTGTTTTTTAAGGTACTTAATTGTTACCCAGAAATGATTTGATATTATGATTTTTAAAAAAAGCTGCATTGTAGGGCTGGGCAATATATCTAATGAAATCGATTAATTCGGATCTATGTTTTTGCGCGATATTTCAAATACCCATATCGCATATTTTTTGTTTTCATGAGCGTTTATGTCTGCTTGTTCTAATGTCTTTTTGGTCTTGTCTCCTTCGCTCCTTCTGTGCTGTGTGCACCTTCCCATTTACACCAGAGATCTGTTTAAAATAAGTACATAGAAATGCTTATTTTGGACCGATTTTTGGCGAGAGTGAAACCCCTCTTCCTCTCTGTTTACACACACACACCAAGCCCCTCCCCCTGCCACTCACAACAACAAAGATGAGAGATCACTTCTTCCTCTCTGACAAGCGGTTTCAACTCGCTATTTGAGGTTTGGTCCAACAGAATTAATAGGTCATATGGAAACCGAAACGCATTGAAACATTATTTTTACTGTAATAGAGGAGAAGTTAACCTGTCTAACGATGCCCTTTTAATGTCTTCTCTGCAAATTGCGACACTACTAAAACGGGATTGTCAATGAACATTGATTCTGGAAAATGTATGCTCAGTTTGTCATACCGCTTGCAGCATTTTAGCCATAGACTGTTATACTAGCTGTCTAGTCTGTGTTTTATAAATGTGCAATAAGCATAAAACACAATTCTATAAGGAATTGGCAACTTGTTCTCATTCTGAGAAAAGTTAGGCTACTTGATTTCAACATCTGAACAAAGTGGACAGGCTAGCATGCAGTTCAAACTGTTGGAGACAGACAGTACGGTGTGTTCAATCATAACAATTAAACTGTTCTGCCTTGTTAGCTAGTAAATAGATCCAAGTTGGCTAAACTTGAATATAAAGATTAACTGGCTACATTTTTACATTTTAGTCGTTTAGCAGATGCTCTTATCCAGAGCGACTTACAGTTAGTGAGTGCATACATTTTTTTCATACTCACTAGCACGTGGCCTTGTGCTTGAGAGATCGTTTGAGATCTGTGTTCATTTTCGATAATGCCTGCTACAAGAAGTTAGTCATTATTAGTGAATGTGCATTATGCATGGTTCTGGTTAAATTTGTAACAGTAAGGCCATTTTCATAGACAGACTTGAAAGCTAAATAAGTGATTATTGCAAGAAAGCAGGTTAAAATAATTAAATTATTAGTGAGTCTTATGCAGGGTTGGAAATTAACACCCGCCATTGGCTGGTAAGAATGTCTATTTCACCAGCCATGTTGGTGGGTGGTCACACAGCATTTGGGAATAGTAAAAAAAATAAATCCAAAGGCCATATGTAGAATTTTGGTCGAATTGACAAGAAAGGCTACTAAAGTTTCTTGGCCAGTTATATCATTTTGTTCACAGCTAGGGTGTTTTTTCATTGTTAGTTTGAGTTTGCTACAACTGTCTGCTGCTTAGTGGTTGGGAGTCGACTCCAAAATAATAGATTCCTTGCCCGTCGACTCCAATTTCTGGGTTTCAAGCTTCGATTCCACTAGGAACTGACTCCTCTAAGATTCAGTATTTTTGCAATGGAGGAAACTAGTTCTTGTAGGCTACTTTCGAGAATACTGTCACATTTTTTACAGCAAAGAAAGAGCGAGCTAGGGAGAGAGGGGAGGGGCATAGGTAGGCATGTCATCCACCAGGCAGACTCTCATTGGATGTCTCGCGCAAGTTCACTAAAGTAGGGGCTATCAATGAGTAGGCTGAGCTATTCTACATGCAACAGACCGAAGACCAAACACACACTAGCGTTGTTCATAGCGAAGAGAAAGAGCAGGTGAGGGAGGGGGAGAGAGAGGATCTGGGCAGGCAGACACAGTCGGAACCGTGCGCATACGCTATATCTTGGTAATCTGTATCTAAAATAATGATTATGATCACACTTCATCAATTTTAAATATTATGGGGACACCTATACATTTGGCAGCCAAGCATGAGTTATCAGTGTAGCCTATTATCATTTAGACATTACTTTTGAAATATCTTCACGATTAGATTAAAAACCTCCAGGCTTCCGTCATAAGAGTCAATTAAGTTAGAATTTTTTTTTGATTTGTAGTTTGGAAAAACGAATCCTGTGTGAATCGTCCTCTGGAATAACGCACATGCTTGGATAATGATTACGTAACCAATGTCTCTAGTAATACCCATCCGAAACGGGCTATAACATGGCAAAGAATAGGCTTATCAGCTTAGAGTGTGCGGCATCATCCCATGGGATCCATCAAGGCTGCGCACAGCAGAAATATCACAGAAATATTCTAGTTCCTACACATCACCTTCTATATTCAAACAAAAATAGGCCTTTTATAGGCTAAGTTGATGAGAAAATGGGCAGCATCATGCTCATGCCAGTCCTCTAGAATGCAAATGACTGTGCAATAATATGGTGTGTGCGCATCCGTTTCAGCGTGTTTTGGGAGTCGAGCAAGAGTCGACTCCTTCAACTCCAACCACAGGAGTCGGAGTCGACTCCAAAAATCCTGGAGTCGTGCACCACTACTTCTGCTAGGAAGACATCGTAGTCAGAGATTTTTTTTTCATTTTTTTTTCTCCAATAGAGATTATTTTGCTTGTATCTTTGCGTTCTAATATCATAGGCTAATTTATTTGTGGCCAATTGGCCACCTGAGTAAGTGGAAACTCAAAACACATTAGCTAGATCACTAGCTCTAAAGATAATAACCACTGCTAGTAGCCAGGTATTAATCTAACAGTACATTGTTATGTAAAAAAATTATAATCATAAAACCTTGCCGTTGTAGCCTACTGCCCAATGAGGCCACTGCACTCGCGCGCCATATCTCAAAGCCATATCAAATATCTTGTTAGTAAAATAGTTGCTAATGAGCTCAAAATGTTATATAATCAGAACACTTTTCTTTCTCCTGGAGCATTTGAAAAGAGAGAGAGCGGGTGGCTTGCTCGACACAGTAGCAGGCCCCAGCGAAACGGATACAGGGGCAGGTAGGCAGACACTTTCATTAGAGGAATCATGAGGATAATGTACTTTACAGCCCAAATCATGATTTTAGCCTCCTAAAAAATAGGAAGTGTTGAGTGAGGTGAATGAATGTGCTGCTCGCACCGATGCGACCAATACATTTTTTAAAACTCGGACAGCCAAGTCAAAGGGTCATAAAATGCCACTAAAAGGCCGCGGTCTGGAGCCCTGCATTGTAGGCTTTTCACTACTCTAACTTTCATTTTACTTCAATGAAAAAGGCCTCCATCTTCACAATCAACAGTAGCCAAGGCTTCTCTCTCTCCTCAGCAGTAGGGCAGCCCCGGACAATTTGGCCGCTTACAATTATATTTATCAGCTTTTCATTAATTTGATCAGCCTAAAGCTAATTACCAGCTAACAGAAACCCTGTAATGGACCTATATATTTTTTTATAATCTTTGTGAACTAACAATCCCCAAAATAAACGCTAGACAGTCAGGGAGAATTAAATTCCAAAAACCATACATTTAGCAGTATTGATTTTATTACGTTTGAGCAAAAGAACACAGCATTAGCCGTGACAAAATGCATAGAATTGCAGGAAATTTGCTTTAAAACTACATTTTTTCTGCTCCGTGGCAAAATGTGTAGAATTGCAGGAAATTTGGGCGATATTACGATAGCGTCATCTATCGACGATGATTGACAGCCATCGTCGATGGTGACGACATCGTGATGTGACAGACAATGGTTTAGCCTATTTGAACTTGACTGGCGCCCCGCAGTAAAGAACGGAGTCTCGCAGCGCACAGCAAGACAGCACAAAAGTAACAATTTGCCTATTCCTATTTGCTATAGCCTATTTCATTAAGTATGTGATACAGAACGCAAGAGAGGAATGTAGGCCAGACAGAGTGGATAATTCCATCAAAGCGGCACAAAATGTCCAGTCAGAAAATATTGTTTCTCTCGCCATCTCTGTCGGATGCATGGGCTTTAAAGGCGCTGCATGGTCAATCCGACGTTGGCATTGGCCGTGTAGCATTTACGGTGATACGGCCTCTGCAGAAGTCAGGGCATTCATACTTCTTGCGTTGAGCAGAGCCTTTGTGGAAGTTGAGCAGAGCCTTTGTGGAAGTTGTCAAGGAAGTGAGTTTGTGTTTTATACAGGACCATTTGAATAGCCTAAAACCGTAAGGTAGCCAGGGGACTAATAATGAGGGAACAAACAATATCAATAGCCTATTGAAAAATCGAATATCAAGTTTAAGCTTTTAAGAAATAAATTATCCATGTGGGCCGGGAAAATCCCTCCAAGCGAGGTTGAAAACCAAATGACCAATAACCCATCCTCATTCCTCTTACTGGCCTATCATAAAAGCTTTAAGAAAAGTTAGTTATGAACAGTAGCTTATTTCCCAAATAGTCTAGCCTACAAAGGTGTTGGCCTAAAGTTGTGGCTTTCAAAAATGACAAGAATGAAAGTCTATACAGCATAGGCTATTCTCAGAGCTTTTCGTATTTATTTTAATTTTTTAAACGTATGGACGATTGACTCTATTTTGTTTTAAAACATTTTCTAAATTAGCTTTGTTGCACAATTAAAGGTTAGTACGCTGCATTTCAAACAGTCGGGAATAATCTAATGAATTCAGGGCTTGTAAACTATACCTAGGCTAAATTATACCTAGCCTTCCACAACCACAAGACCCACTAATAATAATAATAATAATAATAATAATAATAATAATATTATTTCATTATTATATCAAAATAGTTTAACATGCTATTTTGCAATAGTCACTGATCTGGCTTTCAAGTCTGTCTATGAAAATGTCGTTTTTGTTTCATATTTAACCAGAACCATGCACAATGCAGTGCACATCAACTAATAATGGGCCATGTTAGATTAGCTAGCCTCGTCGAAAACCAGGCTTCCCTTAAAGGGAACCCGCTGTAAATCATTGACGCCTCGCAACATGTCAAACCAATCAAATGCCTTGCTTCAGCGGAGCTCCAAAGGTGCTTACTACATAGATAAGTGTAGTAGGTGCAAAATTGCATGAGAATGGCCGGGAAATCGCATATTTTAAAACCTCATCAAAATACACTACATAACCAAAAGTATGTGGCCACCTGCTCGTCGAACATCTCATTCCAAAATCATGGGCATTAATATAGAGATGGTCCCCCCTTTGCTGCTATAACAGCCTCCACTCTTCTGGGAAGGCTTTCCACTAGATGTTGGAACATTGCTGCGGGAACTTGCTTCCATTCAGCCACAAGAGCATTAGTGAGGTCGGGCACTGATGTTGGGCAATTAGGCCTGGCTCGTAGTCAGCGTTCCAATTCATCCCAAAGGTGTTCGATGGGGTTGAGGTCAGGGCTCTGTGCAGGCCAGTCAAGTTCTTCCACACCAATCTCGACAAACCGTTTCTGTATGGACCTCGCTTTGTGCACGGGGGCGTTGTCATGCTGAAACAGGAAAGGGCCTTCCCCAAACTGTTGCCACGAAGTTGGAAGCACAGAATTGTCTAGAATGTCATTGTATGCTGTAGCGTTAAGATTTCCCTTCACTGGAACTAAGGGGCCTAGCCCAAACCATGAAAAACAGCCCCATACCATTGTTCCTCCTCCACCAAACTTTACAGTTAGCACTATATATTGGGGCAGGTAGTGTTCTCCTGGCATCCGCCAAACCCAGATTTGTCCGTTGGACTGCCAGATAGTGAAGCGTGATTAATCACTCCAGAGAACGCATTTCCACTGCTCCAGAGTCCAATGACGGCGAGCTTTACACCACTCCAGCCGCATGCTGATCTTAGGCTTGTGTGCGGCTGCGCAGCCATGGAAACCCATTTGATGAAGCTCCCGACAAACAGTTATTGTGCTGACGATGCTTCCAGAGGCAGTTTGGAACTCAGTAGTGAGTGTTGCAACTGAGGACAGACAATTTTTACGCGCTTCAGCACTCGGCGGTCCCGTTCTGTGAGCTTGTGTGGCCTACCACTTCGCGGCTGAGCCGTTGTTGCTCCTAGACGTTTCCACTTCACAATAACAGCACTTACAGTTGACCAGGGCAGCTCTAGTAGGGCAGAAATTTAATAAACAGACTTGTTGGAAAGGTAGCATCCTATGACGGTGCCGCGTTGATAGTTACTGAGCTCTTCAGTAAGGACATTGTACTGCCAATGTTTATCAATGGAGATTGCATGGCGGTGTGCGCGATTTTATATACCTGTCAGCAACCGGTGTGGCTGAAATAGCCTAATCCACTCATTTTAAGGGGTGTCCACATACTTTTGTATATATAGTGTGTGTCGGATGTATGCCGATTTTGTGTATAGAGCACAATTCTGGCAAAACACAATTCAGTTTTTCTTCAATTTTCTGCAAACTAGCATACGGAACAACTGTCTGCAAAATGTGTCCTACCCGGTCTGAAAACAGTGATGAACATAACACGTAGCACCAACGGGCATGTGGGGGAGGGTTCTTGAAATGTAACATCCAATAAAAATCTTGCCGCTGGCCAGCGGTCCATTCAAACCGTTTTGGTAATATAAAATTCTCCAGACCTCCAAGGTAGGCATGACAATGACGTGATTTTGGAGGTATGGCCATGCAAGACTAAAATCTAGCCAACTTCGATCTATTTGCTTGCTAACAAGGTAGAACAGTTTAACCAAAGATTTCTATAACTAAACCAAGATCGACCACAGCCTGTAGTTTCCAATGGGGACAAATGAGTCATAGTGGGCAGAACAAGCAAGGAGGTGGGCAGAGCCAAGCACACGCTAGCGAGATCCTATTAGCCCGTTCTAGCATACATGTGCATATTTCTGGTTGGGAACGCCCACTCTGTGAAGTGCGCGTGTGCGATTACTCAATTCGCCTTTGCACTCCTTCTAAACAATGCGTTTTTTTACTACTTTGGCAAAGGTTAAAGTCTACAAAACGTAGTCCACTCTGTTCATAACATATTCTATTTTTGGGAACAGAAAACTGTATTGAGATCAAATGTTTAATCGCTGAGAAAATTTGCAGAATGTTGGCCAAAATCCATCTCCTTCCATCTTCTCCCACTGCCGGCCACTGGGCTTCCTCTCACTACCATATTTGGTAGTGAGTGGAAACGCCAAGCGGATGCTTCACATTTATTCATCCGGTGAAATATCTGTCTCATTGTTCTATCTGTGGTTGAACTGTTATGAATACACCCTCCAGTCCGTTTCCAACCTGTTTGAACAACAGCCTGTTCACTTTGTTTCGATTTTGAAATCAAGTGGCCTACCTGGATAAGAAGATTAGCATTTCTCAGAATGAGAACGAGTTGTCAAGCCAATTCCTTATATAAATGCGTGTTATGCTCATTGCACATTTCTAAAACACGCACTAGACTGCTAGCACCCAACAGTATGTGGCAAAAATTCTGCTAGCGCGTGACGGAAACTGAAAATAGATTTTCCACAATCATGTTCTTTGATACTCTCAATTTAGTAGGGTCTGCTCTGTTCAACATTTTGGAAATTGAGACATAAGTGTATCGTTAGAAGGGAAACCGACCGATTCTGTTATACCAAAACTCCAATGCAAATAGCGAGTTGAAACCGCTTGTCACAGAGGAAGAAGTTATCTTTTGTCTTTATTGTTGAGTGGCAGTGGGAGGGGCTTGGTGTCTGTGTGCGAGTGGGAAAGTGCACACAGCACAGAAGGAGCCAAGGAAAATAGACTAAAAAGACAAACGCTCATAAAAGCGTAAAAATATAAAAACCAGGCATTTGGAACATTGCGCTAAAACATCAATTTGAATTCATTCGATATATCGCCCAGCCCTAGCTCATACCAGACTGGTTTGAGCTAGGGCAGTAGCAGTAATCCTTCCTGGCTAGTAACAGTGGCATGGGGCGTTGTCCTTGTGCATGGCTGCTCAACAGACATGATTAGAGATAGCTTCTCATGGGATTCTACAATCTTTTTCCTACCATGTCCAATCCATCTAACCCTCACACATAGTCATGCCCAGTGGATCTGTGTGTGGACCATATCCATTAGTGACAGTTTATTTAATTGACTGACTTTCTAGACAGACTGGTGATGTCAGCTGTCATTTTAAAAGAATATATTCCTTTTTGGCTTGTCCCATAGATGAAACTGGTTTGGTAGTACCACATTCTCAATTGAGGAAATGTAGGCTTAAGTTATGCATGGGATGTACTCAAGACTGCTCAGATTTCGACAGCTGGTCTGTGGAGTCCTATTTTCACTGGCACAGATATACATCTTTGTTGTTTTGGGTCTAAGGAAAAAGTGCTGCGTCTTTAGTAGATGCGGCACTTGGCACTGTTTTAGTTTCCATCTTGCATTTCACAATGCACCCTACTGATAGACCATGTGCCATACAGACCACCATATTGTGGTCACCCAACCAAAACTCGATACAAATAAATGCCTCTTTTTGCTTTGTATCTGTCTGTGTGTACTAGGCTCTGTCAGACTCTGTGACCCACCACAAGCGAGCAGCAGCAGATGGGGAAACCCGGGAGGAGTGCCTGCTGCAGGAGACTGCCAGCAAGGAGGCTGCCATGGCAACCAGCATGGCTGAGCTGCAGGCTGAATTACGGCAGGTGCGCATCACTCTGGGCAACGCTCACGCAGAGATCGACCGACTGGCTGGCCTCTCCTCCCAGCTAAAGAAGGTATACATTTACGGCCTATCCATTCACTGAGATGCTGAATGCTTTACACACCAATATTTTATTGTATATGGAAGGATAAAACTCTAATGGTATTTGTTAATCTCTCCATTCAACTCAAATGTAGGTCTACCTAGTAAAAGTCAAATAAGGAAATATTTTACACTCTTAATTCCTGCTAGTTTCTTGTGTGTGTTAAAATGTCTAGTAAAGAGCAGTGTGCAGTGCTTCCATAACGTTAATGTGTAATTAGTTCCACTGAGAGCGTGTGTGTGTTCCCAGGAGTGTGAGTGTTGGGAGGCGGAGAAGGGCCACATGAGGAATGAGATGAAGGAGTATAAGGTGCGGGAGCTCCGGCAGCTCCAGGACAACAGTGAGCTGGAGGAGGAGAACACCTGTTTGCAGAAACAGGTGTCTGTACTCAAGGAGAACCAGGTCAGTCTCTCACTGCTCACCACTCACATCACTGATAATCAACCATAGAAATAGAATGAATAGAAAGGGCGTCTCCATTCAAGTCAATTTTTATTTCATTTAACCTTTATTTTATCAGGGAGTCACACTGAGACCAAAGTCTCTTTTACAGATGAGCCCTGAATTACAGAAAATACAGACATCAAAATATAAATACAGAATGCAAGCAGAAAGATGGCATAATGGGTAATGATAGACACTAAGTGTACAAAACATTAGGAACATCTTCCTAATATTTTGCCCTCAGAACAGCCTCAATTCGTTGGGGCATGGACTACAAGGTGTCGAAAGCGTTCCACAGGGATGCTGGCCCAGGTTGACTCCAATGCTTCCCACAGTTGTGTCAAGTTGGCTAGATGTCCTTTGGGTGGTGGAACATTCTTGATTCACGGGAAACTGTTTAGCGTGAAAAACCCAATAGCGTTGCAGTTCTTGACACAAACCGGTGTGCCTGGCACCTACTACCATACCCCGTTTTAAAGGCACTTAAATATTTTGTCTTGCCCATTCACCCTCTGAATGGCACACATACAAAATCCATGTCTCAATTGTATCGAGGCTTAAAAATCCTTGTTTAACCGGTCTCCTCCCCTTCATCTACACTTTTTTGAAGTGGATTTGACAGGTGATATCAATGAGGGATCATAGCTTTCCCCTGGATTCACCTGGTCAGTCTGTCATGGAAAGAGCAGGTGTTCCTAATGTTTTGTGCACTCGGTGTATCCACCAAATGTTTTAAACGCTTTTAAAACACTGAAGCCAAACGTGGAAACTATGGATATAACTTCCTCCGCGCTCGCGCGTTATCATATATCAAATGCGCGGCACTAGAAATCCCTGATACGTCTTGACAAAAAACACCATATTACTGTCCTGTAAATTTGCCTGGACCTTGCAAGCTAAACTGCCGAGAAAAAACCCATAACTGATCCGAATGGTTGCCCAATCGCAGGCAGGCAAGATGCAGTTATTTCGAAATGAATATACATTCAAAACGCCAGGCTTTTGAGAGGTTATTCAAATGACAGGCTATTCACTGCAGTTTACAGCCTAGACTAGCGTTTTGTACTCACTTGAAAACAATAATAACATTCTTCATTACAATGTGTTGTAGCCTAGGTAGGATATATTTATTTTCCCTAAAAAACTGAAACAATAGGGTAGCTTTTCGAGCTGCGTACCCGGGGACTGTGAGGTAGTGCACTCAACGCAGCCTCAGGAGCGCACAGTGTAGGCTACCTATGATTTTGTTATCTAGCGTTGAGTGCACTACCTCACAGTAGGTCCTCTGTAGCTCAGCTGGTAGAGCACGGCGCTTGTAACGCCAAGGTAGTGGGTTCGATCCCCGGGACCACCCATACACAAAAAAAAAAAATGTATGCACGCATGACTGTAAGTCGCTTTGGATAAAAGCGTCTGCTAAATGGCATATTATATTATATTATTATCTGATCAACTTCTTTGGTCTTCGCTGTGTAAATTGACTGGATATATTAATTGCGGTATTAAGCCTAACATTTAGCTGATGAATTATGGTCTAATATGCTTCTACTTAGGCTATAGGCTACATCTCAAGCCTGTCTGTCTTTGTTCTGTTGCGCAATTACGCACCTGGCTTCTCCGCTACCACAACTATACCTTTTTAATCTTGTGGCGTCCCAGGAAAAGCCAGATTACAAAAGCTTGTTGGACACTTATTTCGACTTATTTTCTTTAGCCTACTAATAGCCTATTGGAGGAGAGATGCACACTTGCTCTTGCTTGCTGAATGTAAAATAGGCTACAGCATCAAAGGAGAAGCCCATATTTTCCTATAGTAGGCCTATCTTAACACCGGGTTACATCCTGACAAAATAGGCCTACACCATATGAGTGGCCTGCTAATGTACATTTCTGGATCTTCTAAACTGTCGAGAATAGACCCAAATGGTTGCATAATCAGGCCTAGGCTGTTGACCTATGCAGTTATTTCGGTGGTTATTCAAATTAGCCTAAATCACTAAAGTTTACAATAATTGTGTTATTCACTACATACCAATAATACATTCCTCATTGCACTGTGTTGTAGGCCAGGTAGTTATTTTCTTGTCTAAAAACGTAGGCCTAGGCCTAATCAATAGTGGAGCTTTGCGTGCCCCGGGACCACAGAGTGCAGCCTGGCGGAACGCACTACAGATCTGCCATTTCATAATCTGTTAACTTATTTTTCTTACACTTTCATATGGAAATAGTTAGCTTATAGCCCTAATATTTAGCTAATGAATGGCCTAATATCTAGCTAATAATGACTTACTTTGGCTACACATCAGTAGCCTCTCTCTTCCAGCTGTTCCCATGCACAACATGCTATAGGCTACACAAGTCTCTCCACAATAGGCCATTCCTCTTCTCGTGAAATCCCAGGAAAGCTATAGGCTACAAAAGCTATAGGATATTTATTTTGATACTTTTTTTTATTCTAGGCCTAATAGCCTATTCGGGGAAAGAAGCAGGCTTGCTCTTGCTAATTGCTGAATGTAAAACAGGCCTACAGCACAGAAAATACAGAGATGAGCACAGTGAAAAAGAAGACCTAAAGGAATTGACAACCATTGGAAAAATGGAAATCACTTGCAAACCAGTTGCGCAACGAAGCAATGACATACTGTAAAAGATGTGCAGGCTAAACAGCGTTTGTTGTTGAATTGCTACATTTAAATACGAGTTACTATATTATTTTTAATTAGGCCTATATGTACAGTGCATTCGGAAAGTATTCACATGCCTTGACTTTTTCCAAATGTTTTGTTACGTTACAGCCTTAATCTAAAATTGATTAAATTGTTTTTTTTCTCATCAATCTACACACAATACCCCATAATGACAAAGCAAAAACAGCTTTGTAGAAATGTTTGCAAATGTATAAAAAAATATAAAACTGATATGACATTTACATAAGTATTCAGACCCTTCACTCAGTACTTTGTTGAAGCACCTTTGGCAGCGATTACAGCCTTGAGTCTTCTTGGGTATGACGCTACAAGCTTGGCACACCTGTATTTATGAAAGAAAAAAAAGGAGAAAGAAAATGTATGCAATCACTAACTGTAAGTCGCTCTGGATAAGAGCGTCTGCTAAATTACTAAAATGTAAATGTATTTGGGAAGTTTCTCCCATTCTTTTCTGCAGAACCTCTGAAGATCTGTCAAGTTGGATGGGGAGCGTCGCTGCACAGCTATTTTCAGGTCTCTCCAGAGATGTTTGATTGGGTTCAAGTCCGGGCTCTGGCTGGGCCACTCAAGGACATTCAGAGTCTTGTCCCGAAGCCACTCGTGCATTGTCTTGGCTGTGTGCTTAGGGTCGTTGTCCTGTTGGAAGGTGAACCTTCGCCCCAGTCTGAGGTCCTGAGCGCTCTGGAGCAGGTTTTCATCAAGGATCTCTCTGTACTTTGCTCCGTTCATCTTTCCCTCTATCCTGACTAGTCTCCCAGTCTCTGCCGCTTGAAAAACATCCCCACAGCATGATGCTGCCACCATCTTCTTCACTGTAGGGATGGTGCCAGGTTTCCTCCAGACGTGACGCTCTGCATTCAGGCCAAAGAGTTCAATCTTGGTTTCATCAGACCAGAGAATCTTGTTTCTCATGTCTATATAAGGTCTGCAGAACATTTCTGGTACCCTTCCCCAGATCTGTGCCTCAACACAATCCTGTCTCGGTGCTCTACGGACAAAACCTTTGACCTCATAACTTGGTTTTTGCTCTGACATGCATTGTCAACTGTGGGACCTTATATAGACAGGTGTTTGCCTTTCCAAAGAATGTCCAATCAATTGAATTGACCACAGGTGGACTCCAATCAAGTTGTAGAAACATCTCTAGAAGGATCAATGGAAACAGGATGCACCTGAGCTCAATTTCGACTCTCATAGCAACACATAGAACACTTATGCAAATAAGGTATTTTGTGTGTTCTAAAAACCTGTTTTCGCTTTGTTATTATGGGGTATTGTGTATTGATGATGGGAAAAAATGTATTTAATCCATTTTAGAATAAGGCTGTAATGTAACAAAATGTGGAGAAGGGGTCTGAGTACTTTCCGAATGCACTGAAGTATTATTTGCAGTTTTCCCTATGGCAATGAAAACACCCTGAAAGCACTGTATGGTCTGAACCAGTTTCTGTGCGTTAGAGACCTCATGAATGGTCTTGTTACCACAATAGGCAGATTGCAGTAGGATACGTTGAGTAAAGCGAAAGTCGAATCCCTCACTTACGTTGTTTGGTTGTGCCCATAGCAACATAATATTTTTTTTTGGTGGATATGGGATAATGATGACATAATGGGTGGACTGGCAGCTATTTTGAGTGTACCCATGCCAGGAAGTAAAAGCAGGAAGTGTACCCTTCAATCTGTGCTGTAATTTGTTGAGTCAACTCAACTGACATTACAAAAAATACATTCCATTGCATGAGCCACATCAGTTAGCATCATTTGAATGAACATTCTACATTATTAACATGGCAATCCAGCATCAGTTGATGGGACATTCCAAAATACCCTGGAAATTATTGCATCACAATACCTGGCAGCCATAATCCCAGTCGTTATTAGATAGAACGTTGCGGCCCTGCCCGCCTGTGGGGAAAACAGCATGTGGTTACCTAGGCTACCCCATTGGTTCACAGCAAAAACGTACCATTTTTCAAACGCTATTTTCTGGTCTTTGTTTTAGTCAATTACAAAACGACATTTAAGAAAAGTATGTCTAAAGATAACTTTTCAACATTGCTTGCTCCTGGGCATTCTCAAACAACATAATATTGTAGGGCTTCCCTCATGCCCCTTTTCATGATAGTGCTAGCAGCTACGTGAGTGAGTGCTAGCTAGCTGCTGACCGGAACATTGTTTGTGAAGACCAACAACACAAACAAACAGACTATACAGCTACAAGTAGTTAGTGGAGTTACAAACAAACTATACTAAACAAGTTAAATGTCTTACCTGTGATATAAATATTTTCCACACACATACGGTAGCTACGTGTAGCCTACTTGGACACTGGGTCCCCACATTTCCCACTCTCCCATGCCAAATTGCCTGAAGCCACAGGGCTCTTCTCGCAGTCTCCATTTCCCTACGTGGGATTTTTGACCTGGTTACATGTACATGGAACAACACAGCAGCTTTTTGGCATGTTTTGTTATTTCTGTATAACCAAAAATCTATGACGAAGTTGGCTCTTTTACACTGGCGGTCAATGGGAAAGAATGTTTGTTTTCCCCAATTTGTGGGCGTGGTCGAGGGGAATTCCTTATTATTACGTGAATATCGACTCAGACTATTGCGAGTGTACCCATGAGTTTACCAGTCAAATTGACTGTGTTAGAGCTTCCAAGCCCGTTCTATTCATTCTATTTTTATGTCATCAACTCTCGGGTACCACAACAGGGCCGTGTTCAGTAGCGAGAAACATTTTTGAAACAGGGAGGAACTTATCCAATATGATTTTAGTGTTCTATTGCATGAAGATTCACCACAGTGTGCCCTACTGAACACAACCCTGGTCTCCCATCAACAGCCAGTTTGGGACTTGGGCCAGAATACTCCTACTCTTCCCAAAAGGGTCATGGAATGCATACCCAGAGTTACTCAGAACCTTGTGTAACTGCTGAAAAATGTGCAATGTCATACCAAACAGTAGGAATGTGTTTATTTCTTAATGGACAATAGGGGGTTCCAGATCATTCTGTGGTTGGTTGGTTTCTATTCTTCCTATCCACTCGAGTCTCCAACTCCTACTGGGTTTAGTATCTGAGGGTGTCTGAGGATTCTTTCCCAGTGGTTCATGAATAAGGGCTAGCCTTGTCTGGTGTATGTTCTGGGTTTGGCTGACAGTGCCTTGTGACTGTGTTTTCCCCTGTCAATCTGTCTGACACATACTCATTGTTGGGGAGTCATCTCAGTTGATGGGAGACAATGGCATCGCTCCAGTGGGACGTCTCAATGAACAATCAGGACAGATATGATTCTCATCCTGGTCACCCATAGGCCTGCTGTAAATGTGACGTAAACTCTGCTAACTGGTTTGTCAGTTTACTCATCAGTTGGCCAAGTAGTGCAGATCAATTATTGAAAAGGTTTCAAAAATATTTTACCAACTGCCAGCCAAAAGTAACCGATATGGAACGTTCCTGTCGGTGATCTATGTTCTAAGGTCAGAGTAATGATCATCTATGTATTTTACAGTTACACATTCCTAGTCCAGTACCACCCAACATACATGACAAAATAAGATTAACTTTTATTGTCCCTGAAGGAAAAATTGTCTGGGACATTCAACACACTACTCCCAAAGTGTTAACATACTCAGGCCTAATCTCTCTGAGTCTCTGTCCTCACATGCCCTCTCTTTTGTCATCTGCAGGTGGAGTTTGAGGCGGTGAAGCTGGAGCTCACCCACAAGGAGGAGCAGGACGAGGTTCTCCGGGCCCAGCTGGAGGAGGCGGCGCGGCTGAGGGAGATCGCCGAGCGTCAGCTGGACGAGGCCCTGGAGGCTCTGAAGGAGGAGAGGGAGCAGAAGAACAGCCTGAGGAGGGAGCTCTCGGCCCTGGCCCTCAACCCCTTCGACTCTGTGGGCCACCTGGAGCTGCAGCTGGATGACAGTGGGGATAGCGGAGGGGGCCAAAGGAGCTCTGAGGACCAGGAGCACGACCAGGACAGCGGTTACAACAATGGTCCAGGGTCTGGTTGCGCTCCTACTAACCCTAACCCCAAGGCCAACGGGCACATCCAGCGCTTCTCCACCCCCAGGAACAGTGATGTGTTCCTGAGGCCTGCCCCTGGCCTGGTGTCTGACCTTCTCAGTGAGCTGCACCTCTCAGACAGCCAGAAGCTCAAACAGCAGCTCATGCAGGTACACAACCGGGTCCTATCCACAGAGATTCTATTAAATAACTATATGCAGGCCTGGAATTTTGTGATTTTAGGGGTAAGGCCATTGGCCTTCAAGAGGTGCCCAATCTTTCGGGTGGGACGTTAAACGGGTGTCCTGACTCTTTGTGGTCACTAAAGATCCCATGGCACTTATTGTAAGAGTAGGGGTGTTAACCCTGGTCTCCTGGCTAAATTTCCAATCTGGCCCTCATACCATCATGGCCACCTAATCATCCCCAGCTTCCAATTGGCTCATTCATCCCCCCCCTCCTCTCCCCTATAACTATCCCCCAGGTTGTTGCTGTAAATACGAACGTGTTCTCAGTCAATTTACCTGGTAAAAAAATTATTCCAGGGCGCCAAGGCCATTAACCAAAATAGCCTAATACATTTATTTGAAAACTGAAAAACGCTAGCTACTGTAAGTGTATGTTAATGTACCTAAGTAATTAGCCTACATGTCGACATGTAGGTGATAGCCAATGCGTATTGGCTGCAGCCTGTCATGTCCAGAGCGACGTTGACATGGAGGCGCCTGTAAATGTAGCCAAACTTTTTAATGAGACTTTTAATTACATATATACACTGCTCAAAAAAATTAAGGGAACACTTAAACAACACAATGTAACTCCAAGTCAATCACACTTCTGTGAAATCAAACTGTCCACTTAGGAAGCAACACTGATTGAAAATAAATGTCACATGCTGTTGTGCAAATGGAATAGACAACAGGTGGAAATTATAGGCAATTAGCAAGACACCCCCAATAAAGGACTGGTTTTGCAGGTGGTGACCACAGACCACTTCTCAGTTCCTATGCTTCCTGGCTGATGTTTTGGTCACTTTTGAATGCTGGCGGTGCTTTCACTCTAGTAGTAGCATGAGACGGAGTCTACAACCCACACAAGTGGCTCAGGTAGTGCAGCTCATCCAGGATGGCACATCAATGCGAGCTGTGGCAAGAAGGTTTGCTGTGTCTGTCAGTGTAGTGTCCAGAGCATGGAGGTGCTACCAGGAGACAGGCCAGTACATCAGGAGACATGGAGGCCGTAGGAGGGCAACAACCCAGCAGCAGGACTGCTACCTCCGCCTTTGCGCAAGGAGGAGCAGGAGGAGCACTGCCAGAGCCCTGCAAAATGACCTCCAGCAGGCCACATGTGCATGTGTCTGCTCAAACGGTCAGAAACAGACTCCATGAGGGTGGTATGAGGGCCCGACGTCCACAGGTGGGGGTTGTGCTTACAGCCCAACACCGTGCAGGACGTTTGGCATTTGCCAGAGAACACCAAGATTGGCAAATTCGCCACTGGTAATCTTGCTCTGATTTGTCATTCTGAGGGTTCGGGCGGGGTGGGTGTGGAGCCAGAGACAGCAAGGGTTCAAACTGTAGAACCCAGTTCCTACATTTGAATACAAAAATGGATTTTATCAAAGAAAATATGCTACATTTTATCTCTAGGACCCTCAGGATGACAAATCAGAGCAAGATTACTGAATATAAGTACATTATTTACCTTCAGAGGTGAATGTATCAAACCAGTTGCCGTGATACATTATTTGTTGTTGTGCGCTCTCCTCAAACAACAGCGTGGTATTTTTTTCACTGTAATAGCTACTGTAAATTGGACGGTGCAGTTAGATTAACAAGAATGTAAGCTTTCTGCTCATATAAGACATGTCTATGTCCTGTCATATGAAACCGGTCGCATTTGCGGTGCACTTTTGAGAACAGTGTTTTACCGCTAAATGTCATTTTGGAAAGTTCATGCTTATAGTCTACTGCCGCGTGCGTGTTGCTGCGCTTATAATGTGAAGAAATAGCTTAAAATGTTGATTAGGCTAAATGTTCTGATCTGTTGCATCAGCCTAATTTATTTTAAAAGGTTTTTGATGGACAGTGGTTGTATGAATTTGGGATCTATCACATCCCACAACTGTCCTAGAGTATGTTTGGAATATTTATTTATCGCAAAGGACAAGTTGACCAATAGAATAGGTCAACTTTTGTACTATGGGGGATAGTAGATTGACATAGGCTAGGGCTTTTACTGTTTGTTAGGCCTACTCATCTTGTTGGCTGACGGAAAGTACAGTGGGGAAAAAAAGTATTTAGTCAGCCACCAATTGTGCAAGTTCTCCCACTTAAAAAGATGAGAGATGCCTGTAATTTTCATCATAGGTACACGTCAACTATGACAGACAATGAGAAAAAAAAATCCAATTTGCAAATTGTGGAAAATAAAGTATTGGTCAATAACAAAAGTTTTCAATACCCTTTGTTATATACCCTTTGTTGGCAATGGAAACCAGGTCAAAAGTCCTTCAAGGTTTTCACACACTGTTGCTGGTATTTTGGCCCATTCCTCCATGCAGATCTCCTCTAGAGCAGTGATGTTTTGGGGCTGTCCGCTGGGCAAATGGACTTTCACTCCCTCCAAAGATTTTCTATGGGGTTGGGATCTGGAGGACTGGCTAGGCCACTCCAGGACCTTGAAATGCTTCTTACGAAGCCACTCCTTCGTTGCCCGGGGCGGTGTGTTTTGGGATCATTGTCATGTTGAAAGACCAGCCACGTTTCATCTTCAATGCCCTTGCTGATGGAAGGAGGGTTTCACTCAAAATCTCACGATACATGGCCCCATTCATTCTTTCCTTTACACGGATCAGTCGTCCTGGTCCCTTTGCAGAAAAACAGCCCCAAAGCATGATGTTTCCACCCCCATGCTTCACAGTAGGTATGGTGTTCTTTGGATGCAACTCAGCATTCTTTGTCCTCCAAACACGACGAGTTGAGTTTTTACCAAAAAGTTCTATTTTGGTTTCATCTGACCATATGACATTCTCCCAATCCTCTTCTGGATCATCCAAATGCACTCTAGCAAACTTCAGACGGGCCTGGACATGTACTAGCTTAAGCAGGGGGACACGTCTGGCACTGCAGGATTTGAGTCCCTGGCGGCGTAGTGTGTTACTGATGGTAGGCTTTGTTACTTTGGTCCCAGCTCTCTGCAGGTCATTCACTAGGTCCCCCCGTGTGGTTCTGGGATTTTTGCTCACCGTTCTTGTGATCATTTTGACCCCACGGGGTGAGATCTTGCGTGGATCGAGGGAGATTATCAGTGGTCTTGTATGTCTTCCATTTCCTAATAATTGCTCCCACAGTTGATTTCTTCAAACCAAGCTGCTTACCTATTGCAGATTGTCTTCCCAGCCTGGTGCAGGTCTACAATTTTGTTTCTGGTGTCCTTTGACAGCTCTTTGGTCTTGGCCATAGTGGAGTTTGGAGTGTGACTGTTTGAGGTTGTGGACAGGTGTCTTTTATACTGATAACAAGTTCAAACAGGTGCCATTAATACAGGTAACGAGTGGAGGACAGAGGAGCCTCTTAAAGAAGAAGTTACAGGTCTGTGAGAGCCAGAAATCTTGCTTGTTTGTAGGTGACCAAATACTTATTTTCCACCATAATTTGCAAATTAATTAATTAAAAATCCTACAATGTGATTTTTCTGGAGTGACGTGTACCTATGATGAAAATTACAGGCCTCTCTCATCTTTTTAAGTGGGAGAACTTGCACAATTGGTGGCTGACTAAATACTTTTCCCCCCCACTGTATATGTGGACAGTTCTTCTAACATCTTCAATATGCGCCTCTGAATTCGATAAGGACGTGCGCCGTTGCATTCCCGACGTGTCGGTCTTCACTTGTAGCCTGCTTCGGAGCTGTGATCCCTGTGAGAAGGACCTGATCACGTGACGGGCATTGGCTAATAAGAATTGAGATATCTGAGAGCGCCTTGTGAGTGAGGGGGGCTTTGGAGCACTACGATTGGTAGCCGGGAGAAGGGAATTATAATGATTATGTTCAGCCCAAGGGCACAACGGCCACTTTGGCCGCAAGGCCTGGATTATTTTAGAGGGCATTACGGCCACACAGGGAAATTCGAGGCTTGACTATATGTAATACTATGGTCCTAACCATATACCTACTGGCACATACTGTACAGTGCCTTGCAAAAGTATTCATCCCCCTTGGCATTTTTCCTATTTTGTTGCATTACAACCTGTAATTTAAATGGATTTTTATTTGCATTTCATGTAATGGACATACACAAAATAGTCCAAATTGGTGAAGTGGAATGAAGACCAAGGAGCTCTCCAAACAGGTCAGGGAAAAAGTTGTGGAGAAGTACAGATCAGAGTTGGGTTATAAAAAAATATCCGAAACGTTGAACATCCCACGGAGCACCATTTAGATCCATTCTAAAAAAATTTTTTAAGAATATGGCACCACAACAAACCTGCCAAGAGAGGGCCGCCCACCAAAACTCACGGACCAGGCAAGGAGGGCATTAATCAGAGAGGCAACAAAGAGACCAAAGATAACCCTGTAGGAGCTGCAAAGCTCCACAGCGGAGATTGGAGTATCTGTCCATAGTACCACTTTAAGCCATACACTCCACATAGCTGGGCTTTACGGAAGTGTGGCCAGAAAAAAGCCATTGCTTAAAGAAAGAAATAAGCGAACAAGTTTGGTGTTTGCCAAAAGGCATGTGGGAGACTCCCCAAACATATGGAAGAAGGTACTCTGGTCAGATGAGACAAAAATTGAGCTTTTTGGCCATCAAGGAAAACGCTATGTCTGGTGCAAACCCAACACCTCTCATCACCCCGAGAACACCATCCCCACAGTGAAGCATGGTGGTGGAAGCTTGCTGTGGGGATGTTTTTCATCGGCAGGGACTGGGAAACTGGTCAGAATTGAAGGAATGATGAATGGTGCTAAATACAGGGAAATTCCTGAGGGAAACCTATTTCAGTCTTCCAGAGATTTGAGACTGGGACGGAGGTTCACCTTTCAGCAGGACAATGACCCTAAGCATACTGCTAAAGCAACACTCGAGTGGTTTAAGGGGAAACATTTAAATGTCTTGGAATGGCCTAGTCAAAGCCCAGACCTCAATCCAATTGAGAATCTGTGGTATGACTTAAAGATTGCTGTACACCAGCTGAACCCATCCAACTTGAAGGAGCTGGAGCAGTTTTGCCTTGAAGAATGGGCAAAAATCCCAGATGCTAGATGTGCGAAGTTTATAGAGACATACCCCAAGAGACTTGCAGCTGTAATTGCTGCAAAAGGTGGCTCTACAAAGTATTGACTTTGGGGGGGTATGCACGCTCAAAGTCTTCTGTTTTTTTTTGTCTTATTTCTTGTTTGTTTCACAATAAAAATCTTCAAAGTGGTAGGCATGTTGTGTAAATCAAAATTAGGAAAAATGCCAAGGGGGGTGAATACTTTCGCAAGCCACTGTATGTATACTAACTCACTTAAAGGAATCATCTGTTTAAATGTTATTTCATTGAATAATTGTTTAAACGCAACCACATTGAAACAGACATGGTCTGTAGACTAGTAGTTACCACGTGTCAATGCCTAGATTTAGCTCTGCTCTGATTATGCTACTTCTCCATGTACTTTTTATGAGATTATGAGGGTTTCAGGCAGGTTAGCTTTGCATGACTGAGAGGCAGGCCTACTATATCTGCTATTTCCGGCTTTAGACCACATCCTGCTACAGATAGAATTGGATCACTCAATGAGTCTCTCTAGAGACTCTACTGACAGTAAAGGTTAAAATTGCCCAACAAAAATTGCCCGTATTGCACATTTTAAATTGCGCTTTCCTACACATTCCTATAGCTCTGCTCAGTCCCGAATGGTACTCTTGTTGCCTTTGGTCTACTATTTCCATTATGTAAGTAAATGCAGTGCTTGACTTGTACTGAAATAGGTGCTGGCACTCATTTTGAGTGCCGGTACAGTTTATACACTGCTCAAAAAAATAAAGGGAACACTTGTACAACACAATGTAACTCCAAGTCAATCACACTTCTGTGAAATCAAACTGTCCACTTAGGAAGCAACACTGATTGACAATACATTTCACATGCTGTTGTGCAAATGGAATAGACAACAGGTGGAAATTATAGGCAATTGGCAAGACACCCCCAATAAAGGACTGGTTTTGCAGGTGGTGACCACAGACCACTTCTCAGTTCCTATGCTTCCTGGCTGATGTTTTGGTCACTTTTGAATGATGGCGGTGCTTTCACTCTAGTAGTAGCATGAGACGGAGTCTACAACCCACACAAGTGGCTCAGGTAGTGCAGCTCATCCAGGATGGCACATCAGTGCGAGCTGTGGCAAGAAGGTTCGCTGTGTCTGTCAGCGTAGTGTCCAGAGCATGGAGGCGCTACCAGGAGACAGGCCAATACATCAGGAGAAGTGGAGGAGACGTGGTGGAGGCCGTAGGAGGGCAACAACCCAGCAGCAGGACTGCTACCTCCGCCTTTGTGCAAGGAGGAGCAGGAGGAGCACTGCCAGAGCCCTGCAAAATGACCTCCAGCAGGCCACAAATGTGCATGTCTGCTCAAACGGTCAGAAACAGACTCCATGAGGGTGGTATGAGGGCCCGACGTCCACAGGTGGGGGTTGTGCTTACAGCCCAACACCGTGCAGGACGTTTGGCATTTGCCAGAGAACACCAAGATTGGCAAATTCGCCACTGGTGCCCTGTGCTCTTCACAGATGAAAGCAGGTTCACACTGAGCACATGTGACAGACGTGACAGAGTCTGGAGATGCCGTGGAGAACGTTCTGCTGCCTGCAACATCCTCCAGCGTGACCGGTTTGGCGGTGGGTCAGTCATGGTGTTGGGTGGCATTTCTTTGGGGGGCCGCACAGCCCTCCATGTGCTCGCCAGAGGTAGCCTGACTGCCATTAGGTACCGAGATGAGATCCTCAGACCCCTTGTGAGACCATATGCTGGTGCGGTTGGCCCTGGGTTCCTCCTAATGCAAGACAATGCTAGACCTCATGTGGCTGGAGTGTGTCAGCAGTTCCTGCAAGAGGAAGGCATTGATGCTATGGACTGGCCCGCCCGTTCCCCAGACCTGAATCCAATTGAGCACATCTGGGACATCATGTCTCGCTCCATCCACCAACGCCACGTTGCACCACAGACTGTCCAGGAGTTGGCGGATGCTTTAGTCCAGGTCTGGGAGGAGATCCCTCAGGAGACCATCCGCCACCTCATCAGGAGCATGCCCAGGCGTTGTAGGGAGGTCATACAGGCACGTGGAGGCCACACACACTACTGAGCCTCATTTTGACTTGTTTTAAGGACATTACATCAAAGATGGATCAGCCTGTAGTGTGGTTTTCCACTTTAATTTTGAGGGTGACTCCAAATCCAGACCTCCATGGGTTGATACATTTGATTTCCATTGATAATTTTTGTGTGATTTTGTTTGTCAGCACATTCAACTATGTAAAGAAAAAAGTATTTAATAAGATTATTTCATTCATTCAGATCTAGGGTGTGTTATTTTAGTGTTCCCTTTATTTTTTTGAGCAGTGTATTTAGGTGCAATGCTTTTGAGCTAATATTCTATAAGAGGTGCAGGGACTCGAGCACTAGAAAATGTGAGGTGTCGGTACTCCGTTCCAGTGAGCTCCTGCTCAAGTCCAGCACTGTGTAAATTAATAATTTATAATGTACTTAGCTGGGGGTTGGTATTGCTGCTGCCCAACATAGGCCCAGCAGATGTTAAGAGTATTTGAGTGGGTTGAGCCTGTGTGTCTCAAGTGCTGCTCCGCTACATGAATAATAAATAGTGAGATAAAAAGGCACTCCAGGGTGAAATGTGTGTTTTACCGTCTGAGAAACCTCTCCTTTTGTCTCACTGAGAAGAAATATCAACCTGCTGAAATATAACTGACATCACTTGTCTAGTGCTGAATTTGTTGTTCAGTGCAGTCACTTGAATTTTTGCTACAGTACAGTAACTACAGTTGAAGTCGGAAGTTTACATACACTTAGGTTGGAGTCATTAACTTGTTTTTCAACCACTCCACTAATTTCTTGTTAACAAACTGTAGTTTTGGAAAGTCGGTTAGGACATCTACTTTGTGCATGACCCAAGTAATATTTCCAATAATTGTTTACAGACAGATTATTTCACGTATAATTCACTGTATCACAATTCCAGTGGATCAGAAGTTTACATACACTATGTTGACTGTGCCTTTAAACAGCTTGGAACGTTCCAGAAAATGATGTCATGGCGTTAGAAGCTTCTGATAGTCTAATTGACATAATTTGAGTCAATTGGAGGTGTACCTGTGGATGTATTTCAAGGCCTACCTTCAAACTCAGTGCCTCTTTGCTTGACATCATGGGAAAATCTAAGGAAATCAGCCAAGACCTCAGGAAAAAAATGTGTAGACCTCCACAAGTCTGGTTCATCATTGGGAGCGATTTCCAAACGCCTGAAGGTACCACATTCATCTTTACAAACAATAGTACGCAAGTATAAACACCATGGGACCACGCAGCCATCATACCGCTCAGGAAGGAGACGCGTTCTGTCTCCTAGAGATGAACGTACTTTGGTGCGAAAAGTGCAAATCAATCCCAGAACAACAGCAAAGGACCTTGTGAAGATGCTGGAGGAAACGGGTATAAAAGTATCTATATCCACAGTAAAACTCCCTTGTAGCTCAGTTGGGAGAGCATGGCGCTTGCAACGCCAGGGTTGTGGGTTCGTTTCCCATGGGGTGCCAGTATGAAAAATGTATGCACTCACTAACTGTAAGTCGCTCTGGATAAGAGTGTGTCTGCTGAATGACTAAAATGTAAAACGAGTCCTATATCGACATAACCTGAAAGGCCGCTCAGCAAGGAAGAAGCCACTGCTCCAGAAACCGCCATAAAAAAGCCAGACTACGGTTTGCAACTGCACATGGGGACAAAGATTGTACTTTTTGGAGAAATGTCCTCTGGTCTGATGAAACAAAAATAGAACTGTTTGGCCATAATGACCATCGTGCTTTGCTGCAGGAGAGACAGGTGCACTTTACAAAATAGATGGCATCATGAGGAAGGAAAGGTATGTGGATATATTGAAGCAACATCTCAAGACATCAGTCAGGAAGTTAAAGCTTGGTCGCAAATGGGTTTCCAAATGGACAATCACCCCAAGCATACTTCCAAAGTTGTGGCAAAATGGCTTAAGGACAACAAAGTCAAGGTATTGGAGTGGCCACAATGCCCTGACCTCAATCCTATAGAAAATGTGTGGGCAGAACTGAAAAAGCATGTGCGAGCAAGGAGGCCTACAAACCTGACTCGGTTACACCAGCTCTGTCAGGAGGAATGGGCCCAAATTCACCCAACTTATTGTGGGAAGCTTGTGGAAGGCTACCCGAAACGTTTGACCCAAGTTAAACAATTTAAAGGCAATGCTACCAAATACTAATTGAGTGTATGTAAACCTCTGACCCACTGGGAATGTGATGAAAGAAATAAAAGCTGAAATAAATAATTCTCTCCATTATTCTGACATTTCACATTCTTAAAATTAAGTAATGATCCTAACTGACCTAAGACAGTGAATTTTTACTAGGATTAAATGACAAGGAATTGTGAAACTGAGTTTAAATGTATTTGGCTAAGGTGTATGTAGACTATAACTCAAAATAGGGCAAAGTGGCCCTTCAGACTAACTATGTAAAATTACATGTTTTGCTTTTACTATACATTTAGCAATCTATGAAGAAAATACCTATTTTAAGCAATTGTTTTGGAACAAAATGGCACTTTAAATAGCTATGGAAAATCTGTCATTCCTTCTGTTATATATTTAGCTATCTACAGTATGAAGCGAAAACAATTTAAGCAATGGTTTTCAGTCCTCCATGTCTCTTTCTCTAGGCTGAGAGGGATAAGACTGGTCTGGCCAACACGGTCCAGGACCTCCAGAGGCAGTTGGAGCTGTCCCAGCAGGCCTTCAGTGAGCAGGAGGACCAGGTGGGCTCCCTGACCCAGCAACTGGAGGCCGTGCAGTTGCAGAAACACATTCTGCCCCAGGGGAAGCAAGCAAGCGACCAGGGGGACAGCAGCAGCAGGACCCTGGAGAATGGGGCGGATGACTACGACTATGAGCTGGACATGAAGAGCACGGAGATGCTGGAGGCCCGGATGAAGGCGGCCGGCGAGGAGCTGCTGAAGCTGCGTGAGGAGCTGTCCCAGGCGGGGAAACGTTATTCGGCTCTGGAGCAACGCTGCCGGCAGGAGAAGGAGAGGTGGAGGGGAGAGGCCCATGAGCTGGCTGAGAAGATCCGCCAGTGCATCAAGTCCAGCCGGCAGGACCAGGAGCGCATCAGCGAGCTGGAGAAAGAGATCGGAGCGACGAGGAAAGTGGCTACTGATTCTGAGGGTCATCTCAGCGTGGCACAGGAGGAACTGCTGGCCTTCTCTGAGGAGTTGGCCAACCTCTACCACCACATCTGTGTGTGCAACAACCTCACGCCCAAACGTGTCACCCTGGACTACTACCGCGATGGGGCCAGGGGCCAGTCAGGGGGGAGTGGAGGGAGGTCCAACCACCTTCACCCCCACCCCCATCACGGACGTAACAAGCGCCGCTCCAATGAGTTGTTTGCGAAAGCAGTGCACGGAGGGGATGGAGATAGTAGGCCTGGTACTCCCCAGGACTCCCGTGACAACTCTCCCTCGCCACGCTGCTCCTCCCCCGCCCCAGTCTGCCCTGGCTCCCCTACACTGGACTTCAGGGACCCCTCCAACGTACGTAACCTGGTGGCTGTCATCCGCTGCCAGATCAAACACCTCCAGGTACGAGTGCTGCCTCCATATTGTCTTCCACTGAACATACATATTTAATGAATAGTTAATTAAGGTCATAGTATGCCGTGCTGAATTCTGATCCCACGGTACAGAATGTATTATTTGGCTACGTTCAGAAAGCTTTTAAGCAGATTGTCTGGCGCTTGGCATTATTTGGGAAGCAGATATCTGTGAACTGTAGAGTAGTAGACCACTAATACTACATATGAGAGATATTTGGGATAATTTTTACATCCTTGCTTCAGTTCCATTGGAAAGACCTATTCAGCCACATGTGTTTCCTGAGTGGTCCATCATGTCAGTAAAACTGAAAGTATGCTGAATAACAACACTAAGGCAATAAGCACTCATCATGCCTGTTTCCCTCAGGTGGCGGTGGACCTGTGTCGCCATCGGGGCACGCTGCCCTATTCGGGAGGGATCAGCTGTGGAGGGGAGCTGGAAAGCGAGGCTCTCGTGGAGGAGGTGCTGAAGCTCAAGTCTCTCCTCAGCACCAAGAGAGAACAGATCGCCACTCTCAGGACGGTCCTCAAAGCCAACAAACAGGTAACTTACAACAAGGTCAAGTTGAACACGCACACACACACACAATCATGTTAATGAGACTCAGACGGGTCACTTACTGCGTAACAAGATGTACAGGTGTGACCATCATAATTGGTCTTACCAAATGGTCATCAATGAGGTGTAGTTCTATTTTTGTCTTGAAAATAAATGTAATTCCTTGAGGGATCTATTTTTCCATTGAGGGTCTGGGGCTGACTGAATCTCAGCCTGACCTGTCCATGACCTGTAATCCTCAGACCAAAGACAGTAGATAATGTCCTAACTCGATAACTGAGCATTAAATCTGACTTTTCTTTTTCTATTTTTGCATCCTGTTCTATTTTCTTGGCTTGTCAATAAAGCCTTGGGTATCTGACCCATAGCAACACCAGTAAGGTCCTCCTGACTGCTAGAACCACCAGTCTGCCTGGAGGCAATGTTCCTTGTTCAATTGTCTCATATTTTTTTGCAATCAATATACTTTTTCTGTCTTTTTTTCTATGAAAAACTAATGATATTCCCTAAGGAGAGGGGGAAAGGGGTAGGCTAGACATCATTGGATGGTCTGAGTGTAGACTGAGTCAGAGATGGAGCACTTTAGTAGGAGATGGAGTATGATTACGTCTTCCTCAGAGATCTTCCAGTACACTGCTCCTTCCTCCCCCCTCTACTCTGTACGCCTCTAGCCCTGGCTGACCTTCTTCTGTCAACCTCTTCACTGTCTCTCTCCTCTCCTCTCATTCTCGCTCTCTCTCTCTCACACACAAACTCTAAGGCTAATCTCTGCTCGATTAGGCGAGCCTCTCTGTCACGAGTTAGCCTCTGAATTCAGATGTCTGGTTCTCTTCTATTCCACTACCACAAAGATTCAGACAGAACTATGATATTTTAATAAGTTAATATCATTAAAAAAATGAGTGGTTAACCTTTCTTTGTTCCCTTCTAGCACTGTTCCCTTCAGCTGTGCTAGAAATAGAATATGGCCTTTATTTACATTTGAGTCATTTACCAGACACTCTTATCCAGAGCGATTTACAGTAATGAGTGCATACATTTTCACTTTAGAATTAAGTTATTCACGAGTTAATTATTGGTCATTTAATTTGACAGGGTACATGCTGTATTTATTGTTTCTGTTTAAATAAAGGGTTGATATTTTCATTGCTAAAAATATGTCCCATCTGAAATTTTTTAGGTCAACTTTGACATCTGTTCTGTACTTTTATGTATTTTCCCCACCTGTAACAATGAGTCATAATGTTTATATTCCAGACAGCAGAGTTGGCTCTGAGCAACCTGAAGACCAAGTACGAGACAGAGAAGAGCATGGTGTCTGAGACCATGGTGAAGCTGAGGAATGAGCTTAAGGCCCTGAAAGAGGACGCTGCCACCTTCTCCTCACTGAGGGTCATGTTCGCCAGCCGGTACAGTCATTTATATATACTGCCCTTTTTATATTCCCAATCACCAAGAATAACGCCAATCTAGAGACCTCCGAGTTGGAGGACTACAGTAATCTCTATTTATTTGTTTAGATTTTAGATTTATTTATTTGACAATTTAAAACAGAATTCAGCCTCACAAGTGGATACAATGTATTTCAAATCTCTGAGGATAACACACACAAAAGTATTTCAGTTGTGTGCATCAATTGGTGATGTGCTGCAATCAAAAATATACGTATTGCATGACATATGTCCAAAGTCCTGTGGTAGGCCTACTCTGAGATTAGCGTTTGAGGCCTATTTTCCACTCGGCTGCACATCAACAGACTCCCTCTGCTGCTGTGAGCAGATTTAGACCTAGTAGTGGACAGACACTCCAGTGGAACTAATTGTTTTCCATCTTAAAGCAGCTAATCGTCATGTTTGTGCTCATGTTTAGATGAGACAGTCAGACATTCCATGACATGGTAGACTAGAGCTTGGCTGTGACCCATATGGAACCTGATCCCTATATAGTGCACTACTTTTGACCAGAGCCCTAAGGACCCTGGTCAAAAATAGTGCACTAAATAGGGAAGAGGGTGCTATTTGGGACGCATGCTAGCGCTTCCGTCACTACAGTGTCATCTAATCAGATTACCCCTCTGCAGTCCACCACAATCCCTCTCCTCACGTGCAGGTTAGCACTCACATGCTACTGCCCTGTTTGGAGCCTCATCCTGGACCGACCTGTCTGTCGGGTCAAGGAGACTCTCCACGCAACGGCCCCTTCTCCCCCTCTACCCCACCTCCAACAATCTCTGTAGGGATAGCTGCTAGCAACGAAGAGTGGACTGTGCAGAGCCTGCCTCACGTGTGATACTCTGTTGGCAGGCAGATGTGTTTTTCAGTGTTGGCATGTGTGTCCTAAACTAGTGTGTGGCGTGACAAAGGCATTTGTTGTTTGAGATGGTGTCTGTTGACGTTGCTTGCACAGTTCTGTACTGTGTTGAGTACTGGAGCAACTGTTACTGTAGTGATTCCACATGTGGATGTGTTCTCTTTTCAATGCATCTGTGTGTTAGAGGGATGTAGAATGACTGGAACGAACTGCAAAAATCTCTGAAGCTGGAGACTTATCTCCCTCACTAACTTTAAGCATCAGTTGTCAGAGCAGCTTACCGATCACTGTACCTGTACACAGCCCATCTGTAATTAGCCCACCCAACTACCTCATCCCCATATTGTTATTTACATTATTTATTTTGCTCATTTGCACCCCAGTATCTCTATTTGCACATCATCTTCTGCACATATATCACTCCAGTGTTAGTGCAAAATAATTACAATTTAGTATTATGGCCTATATATTGCCTTACATCCATAACTTACTACATTTGCACACACTGTATATAGATTTTCTATTGTGTTATTGACTGTACGTTTTGTTTATTCCATATGTAACTCTGTGTTGTTTTTATCGCACTGCTTTGCTTTATCTTGGCCAGGTCGCAGTTGTAAATGAGAACTTGTTCTCAACTGGCTTACCTGGTTAAATATAAATGAAATATAAAATGTTAATTTATCGATTGTTCAGTACTGCAAGCTCAAGAAGGGCTTTCAATGAAAGGAGTGTTGGCTCAGAATGTTTTTTTCCTGGAAAGACATTAAGCTCCATCTCTTCACTAGGCAGTAGATGAGCTGACATTTGATTAAGCCTAGCGTTTGAAAGGCCCTGTAATGCAGGGTGCGGCAGAAGCCTACAGTCTGCTGCTACGGCCAGATGCCCTGACTGAAATTTGACTTGGGAAATGTTATGTAATGGTGCCATCATGTGGTAATTTAGAGCAACTGTCTCACACTCAAACTCAAACTATTATTCAACCAATTCAGAAATGAAACGTTGCTGTCTTTGTATTTTCTTGGGTTTCTCTCTTCTCTTGGGTTTCTCTCTTCTCTTGGGTTTGTCCCATGTGATCCTACTGTCTGTCTTCTCTTATAAATGGCTGTCATCTTCCTCTGTGTGTTTGTTATAGCTGTTGAGATGGTGAGCAGTACATTATTCAGATGTTTTCTATATGTGTACAGTTTGTATGACATTTATCTGTCTAACATGTCTACTAAATGTGTGTTATTGTGTTGCGCTAACATGCATGTGTGACTCCCAGGTGTGACCAGTATGTCACCCAGCTGGATGAGATGCAGAGGCAGCTAGCAGCGGCGGAGGATGAGAAGAAGACCCTGAACTCCCTGCTCCGCATGGCCATCCAGCAGAAGCTGGCCCTGACACAGCGCCTGGAGGACCTGGAGGCCCCTCTGTCCCCCCACAGCTTCGGCAACAGCCCTCGCCGTGCCAGGGCCAGGGAGCTGGGCACCAAGACGGGCCGGGCCCCCCGGAGCCCCCGGCGCAACAGCCCCGTACGGAGCAGGAACAGCCCCCGCTCCAGCCCAGTCCTCACCAACAGTGTGTCCAGCACCGCCAGCCACCACTTCCGAGCCCTCACCCGCAGCCTCCACACCAGCCCTGTAAGAAACGAGTCTTCCTCCACCACTACCTCCTTCCATCCTGACCCTCTTCCTCCCATACATACTTCTTCCTCCTCTACCCGTACCACTTCCCGACCACGCAGAGGAGCCAAGCTCCCCAGGGATGCCACGTTCATTAGAAGTCGTAGTGTCACTGATGTGTTCCGAGCAGGGCTGAGTCTGTGGGAGGAGCAGGATGACACCCAGTCCGACTCCCGTAGAGGATCTTCCAGCTCCCTGGATAGCGCTGTCTTTGGGAGGGCTCTTATAAGGGGCGCCAGATGGGCTTCAGGCCCTAATCGTGAAGACACCTTTTTCACCAATCGCACTTTGTGCTCCTCTGCCTCCAGAGTAAAGTCTTCCTATTCCAGATTGATAGAGAATCTGGCCTCTTCCAGGTCTCGGTTTCTCCCTTCTGTCAATATTTTAGACCCACAGGATGCTGTTAAGCCAGTGTTAAAGCCAACCTTGGAGGTTTCTGTTCATAGAAAACAACAAAACGTTGTTTACAAATCAAGTTCTTCAGAGGTGGTGTCCACAAAATCTTCCCATTCCAATTCTTCTCCAACCCCAAGGTGCCTTACAGCAGCTCCGCTCTCTCTCCCAAGTCAGTCAAGTAGGACCAGACAGGCCCCAGGCTCAGAATCACAGAGTAGTTTGAGTAGGCCTAGTTATAGGGGCACCAGTGATTCTCCTCACCTACAACCAGCCAGGGCTCTTAGTTCACAGCCCAGAGCTCTTAGTTCACAGCCCAGAGGATCACGCTCACACAACCGATGACACTTTGGAGTTTCATCAGCATAAGTTCTCTGTAGTCACAAATAGTCTGATTAACCATTACACCCACCTTTGCACACCTTTAGCAGTGCTCAAGAATTTTGCCCAAGTTAGAGAAAGTAGACAAGCAAAGTACAATACACCTGGCCTCGGCATTGATTGTCTACTAATGGCACCACATAGTTCCATAACCTCATGTTAATACTTACTCTTTTTAACCTGTTGTCTTAACCAATTGTTGTGCTGTGTGGATCAGTGACAGTATCCTTTTTTAGTTTGTTTTGGTACTTTGGTTTATTACTAAATGTCCTTTTTATGTCTCTGTCTCCCCCTGTCTCTGCAGCGGTAAAACCTGTCAGTCATCACGATCACCCCAACCCCCCAGTCCTCCATGTCGACCTCCTGAAACAAACGCCTTCCCTTCCTCCTGAAGACGTCATTCCTCCTAAGACATCCTCTTCATCCCAGACCTCCTGAGTCAACTCCCAGACCTTTCTACTCTACTCCTCAGACCCAGTGGACTGGCTGCCCTTTCTGTTTCTCCTTTCTGTCTTCCTACTCTCTGTATGGACCCAATATGCCTACCTGCATGCAACCAGGAAAGGAGAGTTAAAGAAGAAAACATGCTCTGATTTTATTTATGTTATGAAGTAAAGGACTGTTTTTCTGAACTTCACAGTATTATTGACCCTTTCTTTCAAACTGAAGAACTTGTTTGACTGAAAACCCTGTCCTGCGGTGTTCTCCTGCTGTTGATGGATATTTATACGAATATATTCCTGTCTGGAAACGTGCTTCTTCTAGTGTCAGACAGCATCCCCCCTTGGACAACTGTTGCTTAGCCTGACCACCATGGCTGCATCTAAAATGGCACCCTATTCTTATATTGTGCACTACTTTTGACCAGGGCTCATGGGGATTTGGTCAAAGGTAGTGCACTAGGTAGGGAATAGGGGTGCCATTTTGGTTTCATGGGCATTTTAAAACACAGCAGCCTTACTAACCATAATTGAAATACTAAAAGCACATTGAAGAGTCCTGTCTCTCTCGTGTTTTGAGGTTTATTTATTCCTTTAGCTCTTTGCATTTTCTACCGCCGGTAACTGTTAAATCCTTCTCTTTATCCTGTGACTTACCCGACTGTTTGGCTTCGGCCTACCAGCCATGCCCATCAGTCAGGAGATCAAGATCACTGATGGAAATTACACAGCCGTAGCCTCAGCACCTCAGGTTTATATCACAGTTGAATTAACTAGCTAACAAAAAGATGAGAGATATTTGATGGGCTTGCTTCATTTCAAACTACGCAGATAGCTCTGAGACTGAAGGCCCTGCAGACTGCTGTTTTCCAGGACCTGGGTAAGGAGGGCCTCAAAGGCTGATGGTTCCATAGAATTATGAGAACATGCATCTATTAATTATATTTCTATGGGTTCTATCTATTTAATTTCCCCCTCGTCTTCTGGTAGCAGGGTTGCAGTGGTCGTGGGTCTTCTACTACAGGGTCTCTACAGGACCACACTGCCAGCCTCCTACAGTACAGGGTCCATGGTGGGGCAGATCCACCTTTATATCTAGTAGCCTAAGTGATTTGGCAATTTGTTTTCTATTTGAAAAATAAATAAGAAAAAAGGGGGCTCAATTCAACTTGGTCCAGTTGGGTTTCCATGCTGTGTTTAGTGAAGGTCAACACATCATGCTAATTGGTGGTTCCAATGTTGAAAACAGTGCCTTGGTTTTCCTCCTGCTCCAGTCATTTAATTTAAGACTAAATCATATTTTTAAAGATAAACTATGTTGAACACTGTTGAAGTGATGAAATATGAAATGTCTAGTTAATTTTTTATATGATTATGGAGCTCTGTGTTTTGCTTTTCGGGAAACTAATAATAGGCTCTTTGGTACTTGTTGTACATTTTTCTGCCCTTTGCCCCCCCCCCCCCCCCCACGCTTTCACAAATGTGTTTGTACAGGTAGGTGTTTTGTAAATGTAACTGATCATCATACAACGTCAATATGTACAGTACCAGTCAAAAGTTTGGACACACCTACTCATTCAAGGGTTTTTCTTTATTTTTACTATTTTCTACATTGTAGAATAATAGTGAAGACATCAAAACTATGAAATAACCCATATGGAATCATGTAGTAACCAAAAGTGAAATAACACATGGAATCATGTAGTAACCAAAAGTGTTAAACAAATCAAAATATATTTTATATTTGAGATTCTTCAAATAGCCACCCTTTGCCTTGATGACAGCTTTGCACACTCTTGGCATTCTCTCAACCAGCTTCACCTGGAATGCTTTTCCAACAGTCTTGAAGGAGTTCCCACATATGCTTAGCACTTGTTTGCTGCTTTTCCTTCACTCTGCCGTCCGACTCATCCCAAACCATCTCAATTGGGTTGAGGTCGGTGGATTGTGGAGGCCAGATCATCTGATGCAGCACTCCATCACTCTCCTTCTTGGTAAAATAACCCTTACACAGCCTGGAGGTGTGTTGGGTCATTGTCTTGTTGAAAAAATAAATAAATATGTTGATGTGTCTGTGACTTGAACTCTAAAGCATTTATTTGGCCTGCAATCTGAGGTGCAGTTAACTCTAATGAACGTATCCTCTGCAGCAGAGGTAACTCTGGGTCTTCCATTCCTGTGGTGGTCCTCATGAGAGCCAGTTTTATCATAGCGCTTGATGGTTTTTGCGACTGCACTTGAAGAAATCAGTTCTTGAAATGTTCCGTATTGACTGACATTCATGTCTTTAAAGTAATGCTGGACTGCCATTTCTCTTTGCTTATTTGAGCTGTTTTTGCCATAATATGGACTTGGTCTTTTACCAAATAGGGCTATGTTCTGTATACCCCCCATACCTTGTCACAACACAACTGATTGGCTCAAATGCATTAAGAAGGAAGAAATTCCACAAATTAACTTTTAAGAAGGCACACCTGTTAATTGAAATGCATTCCAGGTGACTACCTCATGAAGCTGTTTGAGAGAATGCCAAGAGTGTGCAAAGCTGTCATCAAGGCAAATGGTGGCTATTTGAAGAATCTCAAATATAAAATATACTTTGATTTGTTTAACACTTTTGGTTACTACATCATTCCACATGTGTTATTTCATAGTTTTGATATCTTCACTATTATTCTACAATTGTAGAAAATAGTAAAAATAAAGAGAAACCCTTGAATGAGTAGGTGTCCAAACTTTTGACTAGTACTGTATGTGTGGACAAAATTAATCTGTACATTGATTTTATTTGTCGATAGAACCTAAGATGCCCAAATGGTCCTCATCAATTTCTGTGTATGTAAAGTAAGTTAATTTTGTTGACCTGTGAACCACATTTGTGGGATGGAGAATAAAGCAACACCACTGTCAGTGTAAGTAATTGTTGGGCTGATGGCTTATTAATCAAACTGTATGATGTTTTTTTTGCCTTTATGATTAATACTTTGAGATCCCTCCCCTAATATGACATGGCAAGTTAAAAGTTGAGGCAATGCATCTTTTGAAGCAAGTTACAGTGGGGCAAAAAAGTATTTAGTCAGCCACCAATTGTGCAAGTTCTCCCACTTAAAAAGATGAGAGAGGCCTGTAATTTTCATCATAGGTACACGTCAACTATGAAAGACAAAATGAGAATTTTTTTTCCAGAAAATCACATTATAGGATTTTTAATGAATTTATTTGCAAATTATGGTGGAAAATAAGTATTTGGTCGATAACAAAAGTTTTGTCAATACTTTGTTATATACCCTTTGTTGGCAATGACACAGGCCAAACGTTTTCTGTAAGTCTTCACAAGGTTTTCACACACTGTTGCTGGAATTTTGGCCCATTCCTCCATGCAGATCTCCTCTAGAGCAGTGATGTTTTGGGGCTGTCGCTGGGCAACACGGACTTTCAACTCCCTCCAAAGATTTTCTATGGGGTTGAGATCTGGAGACTGGCTAGGCCACTCCAGGACCTTGAAATGCTTCTTACGAAGCCACTCCTTCGTTGCCCAGGCGGTGTGTTTGGGATCATTGTCATGCTGAAAGACCCAGCCACGTTTCATCTTCAATGCCCTTGCTGATGGAAGGAGGTTTTCACTCAAAATCTCACGATACATGGCCCCATTCATTCTTTCCTTTACACGGATCAGTCGTCCTGGTCCCTTTGCAGAAAAACAGCCCCAAAGCATGATGTTTCCACCCCCATGCTTCACAGTAGGTATGGTGTTCTTTGGATGCAACTCAGCATTCTTTGTCCTCCAAACACGACGAGTTGAGTTTTTACCAAAAAGTTATATTTTGGTTTCATCTGACCATATGACATTCTCCCAATCCTCTTCTGGATCATCCAAATGCACTCTAGCAAACTTCAGACGGGCCTGGACATGTACTGGCTTAAGCAGGGGGACACGTCTTGCACTGCAGGATTTGAGTCCCTGGCGGCGTAGTGTGTTACTGATGGTAGGCTTTGTTACTTTGGTCCCAGCTCTCTGCAGGTCATTCACTAGGTCCCCCCGTGTGGTTCTGGGATTTTTGCTCACCGTTCTTGTGATCAATTTGACCCCACGGGGTGAGATCTTGCGTGGAGCCCCAGATCGAGGGAGATTATCAGTGGTCTTGTATGTCTTCCATTTCCTAATAATTGCTCCCACAGTTGATTTCTTCAAACCAAGCTGCTTACCTATTGCAGATTCAGTCTTCCCAGCCTGGTGCAGGTCTACAATTTTGTTTCTGGTGTCCTTTGACAGCTCTTTGGTCTTGGCCATAGTGGAGTTTGGAGTGTGACTGTTTGAGGTTGTGGACAGGTGTCTTTTATACTGATAACAAGTTCAAACAAGTGCCATTAATACAGGTAACGAGTGGAGGACAGAGGAGCCTCTTAAAGAAGAAGTTACAGGTCTGTGAGAGCCAGAAATCTTGCTTGTTTGTAGGTGACCAAATACTTATTTTCCACCATAATTTGCAAATAAATTCATTAAAAATCCTACAATGTGATTTTCTGGATTTTTTTTTCTCAATTTGTCTGTCATAGTTGACGTGTACCTATGATGAAAATTACAGGCCTCTCTCATCTTTTTAAGTGGGAGAACTTGGACCATTGGTTTCTGACTAAATACTTTTTTTCCCCACTGTATGTATCCAGTTTATTTTATGTTTCATTTGTTTACATTGTCTACTCCTTTGGATTCGCGCAACTTATTGTGATTGATTCAATTAACTCCAGGCCCTTCCCCCTACACCGGGGAAGTCAAACCTGTCATATCGGCACATTATTTATTATCTGTAAGCAGCCAGCAAATTCATTGGTAATGTTCCTTTATAGTAATTGTAAACAATACCAGTATATTTTTACACATTGGTTCTGACGTTTTTTCTTAGACTGACCTGCAAAAACGTGGATACTACACTGGGCCGTGCATTATGGCAAAACAGTAGCAGGATACCACCTCTTTCAAGATCTTCGAACAACTTT